ATTTCTCCGAGAGGAAATCACCCAAACCAGTATTGATATTAATACAATGCGAACATATCAGCAAGTGGTGATATATATCATACCCCTACTTGGCAACCTTAGCATCATCAACCTAGTCGTGGTGCTCGTCCGTCTTTACTGGTTTGAGACACGATTCAAAGATATTGGTAAAAGCCTTTCAATCTTCAATAGGGAGCTTCTGTTAGTTCATACATATATGTGAAGGAGGGTGAGAATTGACCTTGAAAATCATTCTAAACTTCTAGTTCGGTTGTCGCACCATTGTTCATTCGATCGACGTCATTCTGTCGAATCATCCGATGAAAGGGGAAGGGATACGACTACTCTCCGAGAGAAACTCGCCACAGGGAAAATACGCGATATCAGAGTGCCACGGCCTCGTTCGGGGATTAGCAGCAGAAGTAAGACATCTCCCTCTGAAACTGAGGGAATGAGGCTACGTGCTACGGTTGCTAATGTAAACAATCCTAACTCCAACACCATTATCGATCTCAACAGCAACAGGAATGATAATAGAAATATTATTCAAAATAAGAATGATGATGACGGAATCGCCCTTACTGGGAACATGAATGAAAAAGAGGAAAATGTTACAAAGGAAATGGGCGGTTCAATTACTTCCACTACCATCCCAGTTTCCGCTTCTGCTCCTCCATCGAATACACAGCCTGTAATGATTGATCAAAATAATTCTTCGCTGGACAACAACAAGACAGAGCGGAGCGTGCCGCCAACGCATATTAGTTTCTCAGTTGAGACGAACTTGGAGCGTCGGGAACGGGCACTACGGATTCCAGGTCCTAGAGAATTTGAGAGTGGTGGGTATAACCCTCCCCATTTTGATCAACTTTTCTCAATGGGAGAGAATACATATAAAAGTCTAAAGTGCTGATTTACTACCAAACAGGACAAACCGTTCGCGAGGTTGATGATGGTAAGATGCCAAATATTGCGCCTATCACTCCACTAGTTATATATCCTTTCCATGAATTTTCAATTCAACAACCCCTGAACGGCTTCGGAAAGAGAAAAGCTGCTAAACAAAGCAAAATAAACCAACACACAGACGACCTGATCAAAATCGTGAGCACCGAGGAACCACCATCATCAGGTCCTTCCGGGGATCACAACCGTCGCCGCCTTCCCACCATGGAACGGATTCTTTCTCGTGCCGTCTCCGTGGAACACGCTGCCTCAAATGCCTTTATTCTCGGGAAAGCGTCCCACAAGCGCTCTCGATCTAGGTCTTCTAACACGGGAAGCCGGTCATCGTCGAAGGCTAGACAATCCCACAATATGCCGTATCTATCTTATCAGCCGACCATAGGACGTAATTCGAGGTTTTTGGATTTGACCGATGAGCAAAGGGATGAGTTGGGGGGGATTGAGTACCGTAGTTTGAGACTGTTGGCTAAGATTGTGTTTGGTATGGGATTTCGGGATTTCATATTTTTCCCATTTAGCTTTTATCAGTAGAAGCTGGTTAACTAACGTTTGTATGCATATTTACCTAAAATAGGTTACTACGTGTTCTGGCATGTATTGGGTGCTATTTGTCTGATTGGCTGGATTCACAATTCAGACCACAAGTATAGGGACTATCTTCGATCAGTTGGCCAGAGTCCAACCTGGTGGTTAGCAGAATTCTTTCGAAATCCTACTCCCCTAATGAAGTTAAGGCTCTTACATCCACTCAGGGCGATATACAGCGGAATGACAACCTTCAACAATCTCGGATATACCCTTACTCCTGACTCCATGATCAGTTTCCGTACAGCTACCTTCCCAATTTTACTTATGACATTACTAATCTACATTGGCAACACGGCCTACCCCTGCATGCTTCGCCTGATCATCTGGCTCCTGTTCAAGCTGTCCCCGCGAAACTCCAGGATCCGCGAGCCCCTTAATTTTCTCCTCGACCATCCCCGGCGTTGCTTCACCCTCCTTTTCCCCTCCAGCCCCACCTGGATGTTGTTTTTCAGCCTTGTATTTTTAAACTTTATTGACGTTCTACTGTTTCTCGTACTAGACTTGCATAATGAGGAGGTCCTGGGCGTTCCGTCGATGTGGAATCGGTTTCTGGCCGCTCTGTTTCAAGCGGCGTCGGCGCGGACGACGGGGACGAACACGTTTAGTATCTCTAAAGTTCATCCGGCTGTGCAATTTATGCTCATGGGTATGATTTTTCTACCGAAAGAGAGACGAAAAGAAACATGCCATTACTATTGCTTAAAATTTCTGGCTAACTAGTTTGATTTCTAGTGATGATGTATATTTCCGCTTACCCAATTGCCATCAGCGTGAGAAGGTAAGAAATATCAGTTTCACTCCTTTCTTATCAAATCCATTTTCATGACTCTTTTTCCCAGTCATCAAATTACTAACTCCTTTTCTTAGAACAAACATCTACGAAGAGACCTCCCTTGGCCTCTACGATTCCACAAGCGAAGAAATTGACGAGTCGAATACCACAGCGTCGTATTTAGGCACACATCTGAAAAAGCAGCTGGCTTTCGATCTGTGGTATGTCTTTTTGGGAATGTTCATTCTTATGGTCACGGAGGGACCAAAACTAGCAGATAAAGCAGATCCGGTAAGTTCTTGATTTCCCCCTTTTTATCGACCATCCATCTCAACCCGATATTGTTGAGCAAGTTGTAACGTGGCCTGCAAAACAAATGTAGGAATTTGTAATCTTTTCCGTATTTTTTGAAGCAGTGTCCGCATAGTAAGCAGTCGATCCCCTTCCCCTCCCACACTTTCTATGAATCTAACCAAAGGCCTCCATCAACAGCGGAAACGTGGGCCTCAGCCTCGGTCATACGGCTATCAACAGCGGTCTAACTACCAGGTTCACCGTGCTGGGTAAATTAGTAATATGCGCTCTGATGATTCGCGGTCGACACCGTGGATTGCCATATGAGCTTGATCGTGCTGTTAGTTGAACATTTCCCTATCTTTCGCACCCCTTTCCATTCACTTACGTACTCTGTTGCTTATCTACTCGATCCCCTTTTTCGTTGTTGTTTTGTGTTTTCCCTTTCTAGTTTTGCTCTAGACACTAATATCTCCACTCTTCCCCCTACCTTTAAATTACTTTACAGATTATCCTCCCCAGCGAAAGGAACCCCACAGAATCAAGCTCCCCAAGGCAGGTCGCGGTCTCTACCGCACTGAAGTCGGCAGATACGACTATTGCCGTCTCGTCGCGGTCGCGGACTACGTAGGAATGTATAATACGGGAATGGATTGGGTAGATGTGATTCGACAAAGAGGTATAGAATTCCGCAAATATTCCATAGTTGAGCATGGGGTTGATTGTTGGAATATATGTGTTGGAAAAATGTGTGAGATATGAAATAGGAAGGGGTTTGGAGGACGGGTCCAGTTTTACTGACAACTTTAAAAAATTCCGTTTCATTGTCATTAATTCGAGTCTTCATTGTATTGTGCCTTAACACAACTCTGCGTACATTGGGTGTGTGGACAAGGGGTTTTCCCCTAAGATTTGAGCTCTCATGCAGCACCACCATATCCGTGCCAGTTCACTCCAGGATGTTGGAGCTTAAGAAAGTGAAACCCGCAAAGTCAAGTTACGGGAATTCTATCAGCAATGATACAGAAGCCTCAAGTAGTCGTTCAGGGGCTCTAAAACCTCAAGTCCTCATCAATGATGTGATCAAAACAATATCAATCAAGATGTCCAACAGGTAGATTTCGAATTGAGCACCTATGTAGTTCTGGCTAAACTGTCCAAACTTTTATCAAACACAATACGGACAGGTTTGTCCATTTTTCTCGCCTTGCAAACTAGATTTCTGATAACATTAACCATCAATCATGTCATACATGCGGAATTGAATAGTTAGCAATTAACCAACGCTGAATGAGTAGGAAACCAAAGAACTTGACTACTTATTCATATTCAACTCCTCCTTTCCGCGCTCGCTAGAACATTGTGAATGAATAGCTTATTTGATTTGACAAAAGGCCCGTTGTGCCATGTGTCTCGTTCCACTAGAATCCACAACAGTTGAAGGGTCAATAACGCTCCCGAAGTCTAAACGCGGATTGATTTGGAAAACTTAACACGATTGTTGGGGGGGATATATCTAGTAAGCTAAAGCAAAGACAACGCAATCGAATGCTTAGATATGTAATAAGGAACAAGATTTAATATTTTCAAATCCCAAGAGTTTCAAATAAAAGAGAAAAAGGATGGCACGAAGGAAGGTGAAATAAATAAACAAATAAACAATAAACAATAAACAAAATGATAAAATCTCCAGAAGAGACTTGTATAAACATCACAACTCGCATGCTTGAGAAAAAGAATGGTTAATGATAGAAAAGAGTCAAACTGATAATTGAAGACAGATAAGAAGAAATGTCAACGAAAAGAAAGGTGGGGGTATTCCATATTCTATCCACGAATAAAAAGGAAAACACAGTGTCCCCATTGTGGTATATATAAAGTGCATGAAGGCATGTAATAAATGGAAATGCTGATGAACTTCTCATAATCAAACTTGAAAGTAGAGGGAAACTTTTGACAAACGAATGGCGAAGAAATGAGGAAATGGATAAAGCAAAGGGGGCTCGAGTATACCCAAAAATAAATAAATAAAATAAATAAAAATTAAATAAAAAAAAAAAATAGAAAATAAGAAAATTAATAAAGAAAAATAAAATAAATAAATTCTATCTCCCAACCCATGGCTTGTCATGCCTTTTAATAGGTCGGAGCGGGATACTGGCCAGGAAGTTTATATTCACTAATCATCGTTGGTGATGGGTGAACTCTTTCAGAACTGGTCTTCATGGCTGATGGGGGGCTGCCTCCCGCAGTTGATACAGTTGTTGTCTGGTTTGTGAGGTGGTCCGCATCTCCTAATTTACCACTGAAGTGCGGTACGTTATTGACGGTCGAGGTCGACGTAACTGTAGTCGCATGGGTGGCAGTGCTGGCTTTGTTATCTGCCACAATGTGAGAGGAGATCGTTTCTGTGTTGCTATCTCGGAAAACGTTGGATGGGGAATCCACCCACTTAGGAGAGGCCGTAGAATATGTATCAAGTGTTGGAGGCTTTTGTGAAGGGTTCGGGTGGGGATTCTGATGGGATGATCCCATCATAGCCGTAGTTGCTGCGGGAGCCATTCCCTCTGCATAATTGATATCATCCCTTTCCATTGAGACAGGATTCCTAGGATCGTTAGGGAAATCATCATGGACTCCGTCGGGCATCCCATCAGGAAGATCTGGTGGGTGATGGTTCTTAGTTGGCTCTACATCAGAGCCAGTGTGTTCTACCGCATCCCGATCTCCAACGCTTTCTCTAGATGAGGCATATGGCACATTTGAGTGTCGATTGATTTGGATATCACTTGGAAATCGCCCGCCTGGTTGAGGGCGCTGCCACTGTCCGTCCACCTCTGGTGGTGCCTGGTTTGGAATTACATAGTGAGCGAAATACGGCCTCTCATCAGCTTCGTCTTCGTCCATGGCGCCTTCGCTGCTGAGGGATCCCGCTCGATAGAGCCCACCGTTTTGAGTGCGAGCATGCTTGCGAACAAACGCATTGCGATCCTCTCCAGTTTTCTCGGTCAAATTCTTGATGTCATTGTACCATGCGAGCATGGTATCATGGGATTCCGCTCGAAATACCCATGCGTGACCACGATGCATCGGGCCCGTTTGCCGTCCTTTCAACATGAATTTGTGCGATGCGGAACCCCTCTGCGAATGAGAGCCCAATTTTTGTTCAGGCAAATATAATGACATCACAGGATTCTGATACTCGATGCGATCCGCAGATTTGTACTCATGTAAATGAGTGGGTGACAAGACATACCTGTACACGGTCAATAAGTCTGTTTTGATATATAAGCAAAGCATATCTTGTTTTGCACTTACCAGCCAGGGGTATAGCTTTTTAAGTACTTGCTTTTCCGCTCGAGCATGCCTGCACGTACTTCAGCAGCAGCAGGATGGTCCTTTCCGGGATAATTGATATATTGAAAATTCCTAATGGGCAATTCTGGATCAACTAGATGATCATTGGTGGATATAAAAGCGTTCCACTCATGATCCAGAGGAATACTTAGTGGGCCCTCGTTGAGACGTTCCGCGGCGTCATATGCTATATCTGCGTCGCGCTTTAGGATGTTGGCATACATATTATATGTTTTCTGGATTTCTGCAACGACAATGCATTCAAGTTCACGGCCGGAGCTTTCCAGGTTCAGAAACGCCTAGTAAGGTGAAAGGAGAAGTCAGCGACCATGTCCGGGTGGCAGGGAATTTTGAGAGCTAACAAAATACTTACACGATGTAGATAATTCTCTTCGTCAATCTGTTTTGCAAGCTGCTTTTGAACTGCACACCTCACAAGAAAAGGGTCTCCCTTCCCCGAAGTAGCTGCTGGATCGGTATCCACTAGGCCAAGCGCTTCCTGTAAATTCCTGACGGCTTTCCGAGTACCCTCTACCTCCTTGTCGACCGAATTCTTAAAATCACTCGAGAGTCCTTTGATCTCTTTAACTTTCTGCTGGAGGTCTGACCTGAGACCAGCCAGCTGCCTGATCACTTCTGATTCGACATCCCTTGCTTTTGCCAATTCCAGCATTGCCTGTCCGTGATAATCTTTCAATATTTTTGAAGCGTCTGCAATCCCACCTGTCGCGAGAAACGTGGATGGGAAAACAATGTTATTCATCGAATTCGAGGCGGAAAGAAGAGCCTTTGATCTGATTTCGTAGGATTTCTGAATCTCCCGGAAGACCATTATCAAATCTTTCAACACCTTCCGCCACGCTACATCGAAATAGTTAGCCATGCTGCAAGATGGCCTTTTAATATCCAACCGAAATCGATAAGGAAATGCTTACCTTGGAATCTCGCAGCTAGCACATCCGTAGGGCTTCCCGAAGTCGGTATAGGAATATAAAATGCACTGTTGACATCATCTCCATCCACCATGCCATACTTCTCTCTCTCACCGAGGACCATACTCTTCACACTGCCTGCACGACTACTCCTCCGACTTCCACCCCTTCGCAAACTGCCCTTTTTGCTCAACGAAGGTTTTTTCTTCAAAGAACTCGTCTCCCGAGATGGCAAAAGCGAATGTGCCGCTGATATCTGCGAGTCAGAGCGATGCAGGTCACCACCGTCGCCTGGAGGACCTCCATCGTTGATAAGCGACGATCCACGTCGGCTGGGTGATAAATCTTCATGGAACCGGGACAGCTGTGTTGGTGCAGGAGGTTGGACGGCTCCCCCTACCCCTCCTCCTCCTCCTCCTCCTCCACGAACCTGAAAATCTGATGCAACGATCGAATCAAGGGCCATGTACGAATTCGGGCGAGAGTCGGCGGCAGCAGAGGCGTAGCCGTTTGGCTGGTTTAAATGGGAAGCCTCGGTAGCGCCGGGAGCCGTGGCGTATGCATCGTGGGACGGCGTTCGGGATCGGGCGGCCATGGGCGGATATGCTGTGCTCATTAAAAGCCACAGCGGTTATCGGGTTTTGGCGTAAGGTATTTAACCCACTTCTTTTCCTGTGATCCTCTTTCTTGCCCTTGCACAAGGGCAACACGGGCACACGTCGCTTTGGATAACGCAATTGGAGACACCAGTGGCTGGAGATTGAGTTCACCGAATGAAAGGTAGGGAGTAGAGAGGGCTTTGAGCTAAGAGCGGGGAGAAGCGGTAGTCGTTTGTTTTGTCGATTGTGCGATAGGGGTTTGTTAATATGGATTTATTAGGGCCTTATTTGGATGTCGTCATGGGTTGTGGGGGTTGTGAGATAGCAAACGATCCAGGATGGGGCGAACTAGCACAGGAAGGATAACCAACTATTAGCTACTTCCTCGTGAAATGTTGTGGATTTCTTAAGAGACAATATATTCCATCGTGGGAGTTGCAAAAACTGGGAACATAGGAGACAGCTGGAAGGCAACATTTTATCGGGTTGACGGGAGATGACGGGCGGTTCTTCGAGCTGAGACCATGGAGATGACGTCGAGATGGTTGGGTGGCAGACTGGGGAAGGCGAGAAGTTCTGTGGAGGTACCAAATGTAGAGATGAATAGGCGAACTTGGCGCTGGGGTGATCGCAAGTGGTACCTTCGAGGTACCTGTGTTGTGGCTGGGCCTTTTTGGGTGTTCCCGATGTTGAGAAAGTGAAATACCTAACGTAATCCAACCACCTGACGGATCAAAACCCCACCTTATTTGACAGAAATTCAAATTAAGCAACAAACCACTAGGAATTATATATAGAAATCATACAGGACACCAATGCTCTTCAGCCTGTGGGCACGCCAGGAGCTCTATGTATCATACTACCCCGCATTGACCACAAGCATGCTTGCTGGTTGCTCACTTTTCTAGTCATTGGAATTGAATCCCCAACCCCCACCTTAATGAGCTGATCAAGCTCCTGAGCTCTAGCAAGCTGCCCGAGTTGATGCTTCTTGAGCAGTTAGAATCCCTTCTTCAGCTCTATATATACATTATTTTTTCTTTCTCAGCTTCTGTCTGGCATTGGTAGCTCTTAGTTTCATATTCTCTCTTGTTGCTCTAGTAGCAATAGATACTAATATGGTTTTAACTAGCTTAACTATTAAAAGTCTATAAATTGAATATTTAAATATTGTTATTAACTTATTATTTTATTTTAATTAAATTTTATTGTAAAGGTTTTATTAAAAATATTAAAAATATTAATTTTATTAAATAAAAAATAGTTTATAATGATTAAATATAAAAGTTTTAATATTTAAATATTTCTATAATTATATTAATTTAAACTTATATATAATTTAATTTTTTAATAATTTTATAAATTTATAATATAATTAAATTTTTAATATTTAAATTTAAAATTAATATTTATAAAATTAATTTTTAATAATAATTATAATTTTAAATAAATTATTTTTTATATTTTTATAATATATATGAATAATATATTTAATAATTATATATATTATATTATAATATTAATTATTATTTTTATTTTTTTTATATTTTATATATAATTTATCTTTTAAATATTAAAAATTTTTTAAATTATATATATATTTTTTTATATTTTAATTTTTTATTTTTTTAAAAAAATTACTTTATATATGATTATATAAAAATTTTTAATCAGATAATTTAAAATCTAATTAATAAGTAAAATTAATTGAATTTTATATATAGTATTTAATATATTTTTTAATTTTTTTAATTTATTTTTTTTACTTTATATATTTTTAAAAATAAAAATTAATTAATATATAAAAATTATATAATATAAATATAAATATAATAATATATAAAAAGTAATAATATTAATTTTAAAATAAAATTAATTAAATTTAATTAAAATATAATTTTTATATTTATTAAAAAATAAAATATTTTTATTAAATAATTTTTATAATTAAATTAATTTTATTTTATAATATATTTAATTAATTTTATTTACTTTAATTATTTAATTATATATAAGATTTTTATATTATATTTTTAAAATTAATATATATTTCTTTTAAAAATAATTATTATATAAAAAATTTAATTAATAATATTAATTTTAATAATAATAATTATTTATTTTTAATTTTTAAACTATATAAAACTTAAATAATTAATTTTTTAAAATAGTTGCTAAAATTATATTTAATTCTAAATAATTATAGATAAAAAATTAATTATTTAATTATTTATTATATTTATTTATAATTATATTAATAAAATTAATTTTAATAAAAAAGTTAAAATATATATAATTTAAATTAATATAATTATAAAAGATATAAATAATATATTAAAATTTTTATATTTAATAATTATAAAATATAAATATAATATTATATAATTTAAATAAAAAATTTATTTAAATATATATTTAATTTTTTTTAATTTTTAACTATATATATTAATTATTATATAAATATAATTTACAAAATAGTATTATTTGAAAAATTTTATAAAAATTTACTAATAATTATTTATTAATTTATTTAATAAAAATAAATATATAAAAAAATTTTAGTAATTTTTTTACATTAATTATTTTATTTTTATTTATTTTTATAATTATAATTCTATATTATTATTTATAATTTTTATAACAAGTTAGTTAAAAAAATAGTTAATAATTAATATATATAATGTTATGGCTCAATCTAGAGTCAAGATGATAAGAAAATAAAAGTTTCAATTTATCTAACTAGGCAAACTGGGGATTTGAATGTAACGAGATCGGAGCGGATTAACTTTAATCCATATTACAAGCGTATGCGCTGTAGCAGTCATTTGCACAGGGTAGTTTCAAAAATCTTATATATCTTTGAAGCTTTCATCTTTAGTATATAATTTTTTGATTTATATGCAGCAATGGCAAACTGTATGTGAGACTCTTGAGATAAGAGCATTTTGATGAAAAAATGTGAAGAAATGATGTGTTGAAGATAGTTGAGTTGAATATTTGAATGATTTTCAAAGAGAATCCGTCGCGAAGTAAGTTATAAAGCATGTCACGTGATATAACAGCTACATACCAATTTTTGTTAGGTGGAAGCTCTTGAAGAACAGTTCACGGAATGCTCATCAACCCCCTAGCAGTAATAACTTACCTAGGAAATGCCAAAGACTCGCCGTGTGGGAATGGGCCTTTTAATCTAAAGCCAATCGTTGTATTATCATTTCAATGAGCCAAGCCCGGTACAATATAAACCCATTCCGTAATTTCTAGATTTTGCAATAAGCTTTTCCTTGAGAATAGGGAGAGAGAATCAAGCATAATGACATATTTCCTTTGCTTTTATTCAATTGGCCATGCTGGTATCAAACCTAAATATGGAAAGCTTTTATTCCTGTCTAGTTAAAAAAAGTCCCCTCAGGAGAGGTCGAAATTGTGACAAAAAGCCGCGGAATTCCCGAGGTTTAATCAATGCGCACCACGCCGAAGCACGAGAAGGGCAGCATGACTTTGTACGAAGGAAGGGGTCACGGTGATGATGAGCTTTAGCTGGAGGTGCAGAAACAGAGGCAAAGTCCCAGCGGACTTGACTCCCAATGCCAAGTATACTTTACAACGAAAAAGTGAAAATTGTTGGGGGGAGGAACAAAGATACCGGTGAAATGAGAAGAAAGAAAGACGGATATACAACTAGAAAATGTATATGCAAGTGTTGTATCAGAATACGATTTCTTAAGGTCCGGCGGGCTGCGGTGCCGGAGGTACATCAATGCCGTAGTGTTCCTTTATCCGTTGACGCCGTCGTTCCTCATAGTTCACACCGTGGATACCTAAGTTATGTCTTATCAGCAAACTATGCCATTGCAAGAGGGTGCAGGGGCGCAGATGATCCCGGCGTACCTCTGCCTTCACCAAGCTGGGCAACTGTCTCCTCAATTGGGGATCTATAATTTTTTCTCAGCCGTTCCCGTCTGGCAAATTCATCCTCCTCATTAGCGTGTCCCTTGCCGGCAAGACTTCCTCCGGTATATTCGAATACACTAAGAACAGTGGCCACGACCACACCGTAGCCAAGAACCGCAGGGAACGTTCGAGCTGCATAGTGTTTATCATTTGGTCAGCACGTTCAGTTGCGGGAACATTGTTATTGTTGCGGGGATTGAGATGTGAGGAGCATTAACAAACCGCGCAATCCAATAGCTGCTCCGCCGAAGAATCCTCCCCACGCAGCGTTCCAGTGGTCCTCCTTCTCTCGTAGGTTTGCCGCTGCTGTTCTGGCAAATTCATACGCACCGCCCACAGAGGCTACAGACACAACAGCGTTAGCAAAAGTCTTCATCCCACCCACGGGTCACATGAAAGGCTGTAATCCATCATATCGTACCGAATAGTGCAACTGTGCCACCTGTTCTCGTGAGGACACCCCAGGGGCCGTAGTTTCGTTTTTGCAAGGTGTTTTGCACCGAGGAGGCGAAGAGGCCGACGGCGCCGGTAATCAGCGTCGTCTTGACGGTGGCAGCGATGGCATCTCGTGGATGGTAAACTTCCTCTTGTTTGGCTGACGAGGGCATGATTGCTGCAAGCAGGGAAGAGAAACAGGACACCCCCGGAGGCAGTGCTTTGTGTTGAGGGCTAGCAAGACGGTGTGTATGGTATTTGAATCGGTCTGTCCACTTGTCGGGAGCACAGGTTAAAACATTAAGGGTAGAGTGGAGTAGCAGGGCGCGTATCGAATGTTAGAGTGGGAAGTTCCTGTGCAGTTGTGGTTCTTGGCAGGTTCCAGAGTTAAGAGCTCCTCTGACAGTCAGCATCAAACCATCCCCCTGACTTATTTATCCCCAGGCAACAAAACAACAACCTCACCTCTCGTTGCTGCAGCCACCTTTCCCTTCAAGCTCGAGCGGAAGAGTGGAGGATAGACAAGTGCACCGCCTAGCGCGTCTGGCCTTTGTCTTCTTGCATTTACTCTTTTCTCTCATTCGTTTTCCCCTCAATTTTCCGTGCCGTGATCATTCACTACGTCAAACCGACCTTCACTATTTTAGTCACAAGCGCTTCGACACATCACATCTTTTATTCTGAAGGATTTCAAAACTGCTATCTCCAATCTAGGCATCCGTAGGACCACGTTTTGTTTTATCAGCTGCTGAGCTGTTGGGAAGCGTCCATTTTCCCCCGGATCTTTGGCCGTTCCTGGTTCCTGGTTCCATACATGATTCCTCGATGCTAGATGTTCTGGATACATTTGCGGAGCTGCTGACAGTGTCAAATTTTGTTGACACCAACACTTCAGTTCTACAAGCAATCTTCTATCTGGTTCCGTTCATCACTTAGGAATCTCCGATGTCACACATGTCTGTTCCGCAGGGTCCTGGTATGGCTGTCAAGCTCCACGTTCTCTCTATATATCATAACTCCCTTTACGCACAAATGTTGCTAACATGTGTCTCATAACTGTCTGTCCAGGGAAAACCACCCCCCGCTTTATCCAAGATGTCCTCTGTTATGATCCTGCGCACCCTCCTAGCTCCGGCTTCAACCTCTTGACCCAGGTACCTCCCGCCTTCCAGGACCCCAATGACTATCCGGAACTCATCTCCCCGAACGCCTGCCCCCATAGGTATATCACCAAACATAACCAGACCAAGCTTCCCCCTGAAGGCTTCCAGGCTGGGCTAAGGGCACCTTACAAGATTTCCGCTGTCTGCTTGATATGCCGCTTTCATTTGGAAATCAAGACATCACATATGACAGAATCGTCCCATTGTCCTAGTCAGCTACACCATCTTGTTTACTCGCATAGCAATCATCACGATACAAGCCCTTTCCGCAGCAAAGGCCAGCATCAGGAAACTCACTTCTACCGTTGTTCGTATGCGACATGCGCCGTGATCATCACCCTGAACATACTCTCTCCAGTGCTAGCGCCGCGATGGGTAGATCTTTTGATAAATCCGGAGCTGTTAAAGGCTAGGACCGACGAGGCCTTGAATGCATATCCTGAGCGACTAGAGGGTCATATTCGACCATTTCCCATTACCGTGCTGTCAAACCTTCGCGCATACATAGAAAATGCCTTACATGAGCCCCAGAGAAGCAAGCCGATATGCCTAAACAATAAACGTTTTGTTGTTTGCTTTGGCGTCGATGGCCGACCGTGCCGGGAGCTGTTGGAATTTCTTGAATTTACTCCAGGGGTATGTATATCTTAGTTCCACTTTTTGCATTTGATATAGCCAAAGCGAGGATCTTGTGTTTTTGACACTTTCGATCGGCTCATAGGAAGATTCCTGGAAGCCTCCATCCCCTGATACAAGCGCGCCAATACCGTACGAGAAGGCTCTGAATGTATTTCTTGACAACGTGTCAAATGAACTCCTCGTTCTCATCCACCAAAGACCAGAGCATGAGAAAGACGGTCAATCACGAGAACCCAAATTCGATCCTGCCTTGAAGAAATTCAGTCAGCTCCTGGGTTCATCGACCTGTTAGTAGTTCCTCTGGCATCCTCGTAGGAGACAATAAACTTACTTTTAGTAGACGACAGGGTATACTCTAACTCATCGGAAAATCAGGACACGGGAAGATTTCCGTAAGTTTCTTCTTTTTCCCCTCCCTTATTTCTTCCCCCCCCCCCCCCCCCCCCTTTCGATGTTGGATCTGTAAGTGTTGTATCCATTGTTTCTTCTAACTAGATTTCAGATATTATGAGGATCTCGGGGTGACGGAGGATATGTCTGCTGATCTCATCATTGAGGCATATAATCGACAGATCGAAACTGATCCACGACGGGCTCCTTATTATCTCCGATGTCTACGATCTATAGGGGGATGGAGACGTAATTCAGACGGGGCAAAAATTGACCATCTTGTCACATTGGAGTGTAGTGGCTATCGATACGCTGATGACGATATACCACGCGCATATAACTATTTTCAACTAGATTATCGCAATCGAAACCTGACTGATGATGACATTATCGGATCTTTCTTTGCTCTTCTTCGTGATACCCCGAACGACACGGAACCAAGACAGCAACTCTGGAGAATAGGTGACAGTCGAGGCAGTGAGAAGATCAAATCAGTGGCAGAAGAGCGTAAGTTTCATGCCCTCAGACAGACAGATATTCCGGCTAAGCTCTTCGTAGGTATATCCACCGTGGAGCAAGCGCTAGTATATCTTGGTGCAGAGGAGAAAACCTCTGATGATTTCATTGTTTCCATGTACGCTGCAAAGGTATGTACATGCAAACTCTACTGTTCAATACGTTATAGCTACTTATAAATACTTGCTCGAAAATCAGGTCAACGACCAACCAGCGAGTAAAGAGCTCGCGCGGAAGGCTGTTTCTTTGATCGCCGAGGCACGCAAATCCGACTCCCTCAAATACTTCCTCAATACTGGCGAAACAGTGACAGCGGAAATGGATGTAGGCGAGGCTTTTCGACTCTTGCAAATCCCAGATCGGACTGTCGATGATGCTGCGATTCTTGCTGCATTTTCTGTATGTTGCTCAGAGGCTCCCGGTCAAATCGACGCGTATAGAAAAGCCCTGGATGTCATTGCCAAAGAGAAAGGAAGTGCAATGATAAGCAGCACTCTAGCACAAGACGCGGCACAAGCAAACCGCGATCTCAAAGAATGGCCTGTCGGGCTGCAAAATATTGGAAACACTTGTTATCTCAACAGCTTGCTCCAATTTTACTTCACAGTGACCCCTTTTCGCAAAATGGTGGTTCACTTTGATGACTACAGGATGCCTTTAGATGAGGCGAGTCTCGCGAAGAAGAAGATCGGATCTCGAAAAGTCTCAATTGCAGAAATAAAGCGGTCTCAAAAATGTAGGCATAGATGTTTGCCCTTGTCGGATCGATGATGGCTAACCAAGAGGTAATATTAATAGTTCTCCGGGAGCTTCAATCACTGTTTAAAAAGATGATCTCATCACCTACTTCATCTGTCACGCCTGAGCAGGAACTTGCACGTTTAACTCTCATTAGCTCTTCAAACGAAGCAGCTATCCGGAGGAAATCCATAATAACTCACGGTCGTACCAGCCTAAGTGAGATAAATGGCTTGCCCGTTATCGGACCACTAGGACCTCCGAGCGCTACGACAGACTTGCCCAGTGATGGGACAATGGCTGACCCGAGTAGTAAAGGGCAAGAACCTAATGACGCAGACAGCGATGTAACGCTTGTTTCATTATCTGGACAGCCAGACAATGAGGAATCAGGGGCTGACAACAAGGAAAACGTGTCGCGTGGTTCTCAGGATATAATTGTTGAAATGAAAGAAGTAAATGATTCCAAGAATACAGATGTAGCGACGGGTGAGTAATGAATAAGTCCAAAATACAAGATCCAAGTTTACCAGCCCAAACAGCTAAGCTGGCCTGAAATATAACAGGTGATCCTTCCCGGACTTTCGGACCCATAGCCCCTCCGAGCAGGGCTCCCCCTCCTGTACCCCCTCGACCAGTACCACAAGTTGATCCACAGCAACAACTCAGAGATGAAGTTGAGCTCTGGGCGCAGCAGGATGTTACAGAAGTTATTAACAACGTTCTATTCCAGACTCAATGTGCTGTCAAACCGATCAGATTCGACAAAGACGGAGAGCAGCTCGACGTAGTTACCGAGTAAGTTAGCTTACCCATCTTTGAATCAATTCCGGATTTGCCACTAACAAAACAAAAGTTTGTTTTATGGCAAGACCGTTACCTACCTTACTACAGAAAATGGGGTTCGATCCAAAGAAGAGTCTTGGTCAGATATCAAGGTCGATGTTGCTACCGGTTCTAAACACATATATTCTGCAATTGACGGCGCCTTCGATATGCAAAAGGTAGAGGTTGACGGCGCTGAGGTGGAGCAATACGGCACCATCAGCAGGGTGCCTCCAGTTCTGCAAATACAAGTCCAGCGCGTCCAGTTTGATCAAGTCAAGAAGACTTCGTTTAAGTCGACTCATCACCTGGAGTTGAAAGAAATGATATTCCTAGACAGGTATATGGATAGTAATAAACACCACATAGATGACAGACGCCGTGAATGCTGGCGGTGGAAGGAGGAACTTCTAAAGCTAAGAGCGCGCAAAGATGAACTTTTATATAATGAGGTATTCCCTTTCAAAAATTCCCAGAGATCTCACAGTTTATCAGGCTAACCGCCTCGTTATATGTGTAGAGTTGGGAATGTTTGCCTGATGTGTTCAAGGACGCAAAAGCCCACGTTCAAAATCTGATGGCTATGAAAGATGACCCTGAGACCGCAGGAGAGGCAATGGAGATCGATGACGGGGTTTTATCACGTCTCTCGGCAGTGGAAGAGATGACAAGGGATGAAATCAAATGCAAGTTAGCCCTGTCACTTGTTCTTCAACCCTTTTAAGTGGCCACTATCTAATCCCCCAAAACAAAATAGGCATCGAAAATCGCGAGCGAGATTTACTTGCATTGATAGAAAGTCAATTCGCCGATCTTCGTCATCTCGCCTACAGCCTGTATGCTGTCTTCGTACATCACGGCTCCGTTGAATTTGGCCATTACTACATCTACATATTTGATTTTGACAAGAACTTGTGGCGAAAATATAATGACAGCGAAGTAACCGAAGTCCAAAGTAAAGCGGAAATTTTCGAGAGGCAGAACCTACACAACCCCCCCACCCCTTACTTCCTCGTCTACGTCAACGAACGCATGAAGGAACGTCTGGTTAAGCCCGTCAATCGCGAAATCGAAGAGATAAGTCCCTGTGTGGTGTCGCCGCTACCAGCACCGGCACCGGACTCAGAACCAGTGAAGGTGGTACGCGGCCAGCAAGCCAATGGATCCGGACCGTCGCAAACGGAAATTTCAGCTAGCAAGGATGTGAATATGGATGAACCCCCGGCGTACAATGAAATAGAATATGAACCTGCTGCAGGTATGAACAATGCCAAAGGCGCAGACGCGATGGCGATGGCAAATGGCAAAGCCACTACCACTTCTTCCACTGCCACCACCACCGCCGCCGTTGCTGTCGCCGCTAGCACCGCTGCCACTCTCAAAGGAAAATGGAATAAGAAGTTTGCTAACCTCCCCTCTGTGTCCTGGTAGGAGCAGTGGCCACCATCAACAAAGGGGCATTCCCTTCTCCACCGCACAACCCTCTGAAACGGAAAGTCGAGGGGGAAAATCGCGCTGATGATGTACCCAATTCTCTAAATGCCCAACTCGACGGGTGAGATGCCACGGGTTGTAGATTAGAAAGTATTTTGTTCCCGATGAAGTGGCGCTCTTTATCTCTTTTTTTTACTTTTTTCTTCTTCTTTTTTTCTTTTTTTGGTTTATTTTTCGCTTTACTGCTTTCCATACCATGATATGTGACATCCTTGGATCTTTTTCCTTTTTGGTTTATTAGCGTCGAATTTTCCTCTCCTGTCGGCTTTCTATTTTACATCAGGTTCCCTTTTTGCATGGCTTGATATCTAGCCACCCCGCGAAGTTCGAAGCAGATTTTGTTTGATGGATTCTCTCTCATTTTCCCGAACCTCTAAGCATTTCTCATTTCCATCCACGATTCAATATCATCCCATGTTGTTATTTGCACGGCGAAAGAAATCTAAAAAATCATGTCATGTCAAGTCAATCAACAGGAAGTTTGGAAAATGAACGGGGCAAAACTGGATTGTATTGTTTGGTTCTGTACGGTCCGAGGTCTATATTAGTTTCTCTCCCTTTTTTTTTCTTTTCTTTCTTTTTTTTTTTTTTTTTTTTTTTTTTTTTTTTTTTTTCTTTTTTCTCACTTTTTGTCAGAGGATATTTAAAGGCGTGGGCGTTCTTTTGTTCTGTCTGTTGTTTTGTCTTTCTTCGGCGATCGGCGATTTGATAGAAACCTCTTGCATCGTCGGATCAGCAGCAGCAGCAGCAGCAGCAGCCGCCGCGGGTCGGACAAGGGTATCACCACGATTTCAGTTTCAAGTTGTAAAGTTTTCATTCAGTTTTCTTCGGTTGTTTGAAGGACGTTCCCATGAATTTCAGCCATCGTTGCTCATTTTTCCTTAGTTCCCCATGGAGATTTTCATTGCTCTTCGCCGATTTATGTTCCCAATAGAGGAGTTTTCGCAGGGGTTGGCGGACATTTATTTAACGTTTAGCATGGAATGAATGGTACATGATACCGAAGATTAATTCTGTCCTTCCAAAATTCTATGTACGATTACAGAGCCGGAAATGACCATATTGAGGGCCAAGGGGAGAGTAGAGGATTTTAATGCACTACGTGATAGTAAATTGTGATGATAACGACAGGTAACAGCCGCAAAGAGAGAGACGAGACTTTGTTACGCCCCTTCTGCCCCCTCTATTTTTTTGAGTAGTCAATCACTCGTCGAAATGAATATTTGAAGGCGGAAAAGGTAAACCAAGCAGCGCAAGGGCGAATAATGCTGAAATCATCAACAAATACATCTATGTACCACTGAATTCATCGGCGATTTGCCGGTAATTCCGCAGCCCTGCTCCAAGCGGAGTTTGAATTGAGTTTCGGCGCTGTGGGAACGGACTACGGAACCCTTGAACATGAACAAGAAATCAACATATCGCAAATTATACGCTAATGAAGCAGTGCAGTTGATTCTACCCAGAGCAGAATATGACAGGAATAATGTTCCGTATGAGGTTGTGAACTACAATGAAGTTGTCGCAGGGAGATGAGCTCTTTCAGGGGCAGCATTAGCTAAGCACGGCCGTTGCGTTCGTTAACTAGTTAACTATTAATAGTTAAGTTAGTCAGTTAGTAAGTTAGTTAGCTAAGCTCCTTGCCGACGCCAGCCATTTCTGCGGCGGCGGGAAGATCAAAAGGCCGTTCATTGCGTCCCCGCAGACAAACCAACAACGCCGCCGCCGCCGCCGATGACAACACACAAACAACCACGACGATATACCGAATACACTGAGGTGTATAGCTGCACAGGGGAGAGACGGGATCAATTAGCCGGCAGTGGTTGATATAGACAACATAGATGTCACATGTTCTTTTTTTTTTTTTTTTTTCAAAAGTTAACTGTTGCTTCTCGCTGAAGTTATTTAGCCTGTTTTACGGCCTCGTGTTTGCTTGATTGCCTGCGTTTATTATTCCGTGGGTGAATTCCATTATCTGCCCGTCCTCGTCTATATCTACACCCCGCTGCCTCCACACGAGTAAATAGAGGAGATAGTGTCTTAAAGGGATCATATCATAATTTCTAAATCGATAGCTTACTACAATGTCTTATTTTCTACGTGTTGCGCGGGGCTTCTCGAACCCCTCCAAGGTGTGCCCCCCCCCCCCCCCCCCCTTCCCATCCATCTCTATTCACGGGCCAGCAATTTTGCTATGCTTTGTCTTATGTCAATGGATGTGTGTAACTGACGTGATTATCCACACATCTCCAGCATCAACCGTTCCTCCTCCGTGCATTCTCAAACACCCCCCGCCGAAGTGCGATCAACAAGGTCCTCCCCTCGGCCGCTGAAGCCATCAAGGACATGAAGTCCAACTCCACGGTCCTGGCCGGCGGATTTGGTCTCTGCGGTGTGCCAGATACCCTCATTGAAGCTGTACATGCTAATAAGTCCATCACTGGCCTAACCGCCGTCAGCAACAATGCCGGCATCGACGGGGCAGGCCTTGGCCTCCTCCTCGCCAGCGGACAGATCAAGAAGATGATCGCCAGCTACGTAGGGGAAAACAAGACCTTCGAGCGCATGTATCTCAGTGGCCAGATTGAACTGGAATTGACCCCGCAGGGAACCCTGGCCGAACGCTGTCGTGCCGGTGGCGCTGGCATCCCAGCCTTTTTTACCCCCGCAGCCTTCGGAACCGTCGTCCAAACCGGCGAACTCCCACTGAAACACAACGCAGACGGCACCGTTGCGTCCTACAGCACCCCACGCGACGTCAAGGTCTTCGACGGCAAGAGCTACGTCATGGAGGAATCCATCAAGGGCGACTACGCCTTCGTCAAAGCCTGGAAGGCCGACAGACTGGGTAACTGCCAATTCCGCTTCTCGGCCGCCAACTTCAACGGCGCTATGGGCCGCAATGCCAAGATGACCATCGTCGAGGCTGAGGAGATCGTCGACGTCGGCGAGATTGACCCGGCCGCTGTACACCTGCCGGGCATCTATGTTAAGCGCGTCGTTCAGAGTACGACGGAGAAAAAGATTGAGAAATACACCTTTGCCAAGGAGGACGGTGAGGGCGCTGACATGGCCGCATTGGGCAAAGGCGATACGGCTAGCAAGCGGGAACGCATCGTCCGTCGTGCTGCGAAGGAGTTCAAGAATGGAATGTACGCGAATCTGGGCATTGGAATGCCGATGCTTGCTCCCAACTTTGTAGATCCGTCTGTGGAGGTGCAGTTACAATCTGAGAATGGGATATTGGGACTGGGTCCGTATCCGAAGAAGGGCATGGAGGATCCGGATTTGATCAATGCGGGCAAGGAAACTGTCACGCTCTTGCCCGGTGCTGCGGTGTTTGGCAGTGAGGAATCGTTTGGCATGATTCGGTCCGGAAGAATCAATCTGACTATCTTGGGTGCCATGCAAGTCAGCGCGAAGGGCGATTTGGCTAACTGTCAGTTATTTTTCTCTCCCTTCCCCTTTTCCCGATTCCTTCCATTCATTTTATCTTCCTCCCCCTCTTCTGGCCACCTCCCTAACACTTCTACAGGGATGCTTCCGGGCAAAATCAAGGGCTTCGGCGGCGCCATGGACCTCGTCTCGAACCCTAGCATGACCAAGGTCGTTGTCACTATGGAACATACAGATAAGAAGGGCAATCCCAAGATCCTTAAGCAGTGCGAGTTCCCGCTCACGGGCCGTGCGTGCGTGAGCCGGATTATCACTGAGCTCTGTGTGTTTGATGTTGATTTCACGGATGGGTTGACGCTGATTGAGCTTGCGGATGGGGTGACTGTTGATGAAGTGCGGGCAAAGACGGAGGCGCCGTTTAAGGTTGCGGATGTGGTTGGGTCTATGTTGTGAGTAAGGACAGGGGAATAAATGAAGGGGGTGAAGGTGGCTGTTCTGGTGCGCAAATGAGTGATGGGGGGCGGTTGGTTGTATATTTGTGTATATACCATATTTGTTTTGGGGATTTCCTTTTGATATTTTGCTTTTGCGCTGTTCTATATATATAAAAGGCGTGCCTACTTCTGTAATGCCCCTTGAATGTGTGGGTTCGTGGCCCCGCTTTCTATCGGGTTGAGATGTGTCAATCGATTTTGATCTGGGATATTTCGATATCCGTTATCCGTTATCCCTTTTGCCCCTTTTGCCCCATTTGAGTGTTTTATAGACACACTGATCCACTGACGGAGTATGTATCCGCTCTAAGTAAACCGTCCCAAAATAATAGTAAATATAATCATACAAGTAAAATAATATATACAATCCAATCCAATCCAATCCGACCCCGATACCCCATCTCTAAAACGCCAAATACCTCACCTACCGAAATCTAAAAGCCCCCTTAACCTTCTTCACCACCCTCTTCAACCATCCCCTCTCCGGCGCCTCCTTAAACTCCCTCAGCACATCATCGTAATGCGACGGCGAACTGCGTGGATACCGCAGATTCTGCGGAAGCGGGTATAACCTGTCGTACCGGTTTTCTAAAAGTGAGTAGAGGGCGTTTATGCCAGAGGCGGAGAGTTGTTGGTGCTGTTGTGTTTGCGGGTGTGAAGGGGATATCGCAGGGGCGGTGGTGGGTATGCGGGTTTTCAGATATGTTTGGATGGAGACGGAGGAGGGGCGGACGTGGTCGATCGGCCAGCGGGATATGATGCGGTTTATATGTGCAGAGATGGTTTCGGGAGAAAGCTGGATGATAGGGGGTGGTTAGTTGGTTTATAGAGGATTTCTGAGCGGTGGGGGAAGGGGACGGAACGAACTGTTTTTGTCATGGTGGTTGGTTAGTTATATGTGTTTCGAAGGAAGAGATCTGGAGGGCGGGATTGGAACTGTAGAGTGGGAAGAGTAATTCCAATATGAATATTATGTGGTGAGAATCTCCAATATTTTCATCGAATGGGAAAAATGTTAAAAGAAATGAAGGTGTATATAAACCAGAGGAATGTCATGTTCGATCTGCAGAACCAACAAATGAAGCTCAGAATTATCAATATCCTTCCATACAAAATGTTTTTCTTTGCTGCGAAGAGCCGGTTGGGATGCTTAGTCACACTGTTGTCATCTAACTAACTAGTTATAGTTAGTTAACTAGTTAGTTAACTATCATGTGATCGCTTACAAACCCCGCAAAACATCAAGCCTGCTTCAATCAACTTACACGACACTCTTCAATCCGACCGCCGCCTATACACGATCTCACTACGTTGCTCGTCTATTTCTCCTATAGTTCTTGCATTTTTGCCCCCTTCTATCCCTTCCCTAGATCCTTTGCTCTCTTTTCCGAGCTTGTATTGCGTGTTTTGTTCTTCCCTTGGCTCAGTCATGAGCTCACATCGATATCAACGGGTAAGGCAACCTCTTGTCAACCATTGTCATTTTTTCTATATCATCTCCTGTAGTCTCGTTAAGCCTAAAGCCTATCACAAATCTCGAGAGTTTGCAAAGATTGTCGATTGCTAACCGCTTGGATAATTCCAGGTTGATGCCCATGATGCAGAAGACGGTGATGAAGTGACCCTACACCCCGGACAATCTGGACCCTTACCTTCTTCTCCTCCTCCATCTTTCCGCTCCAGATCGCTATCCCCACCCTCGAGACGCGTCCTATCCCAGGATCCCTTATATTCCGAAACAGATCAAACCCTTGCAGATACGTTTGGCGCTGATGACCAAGACTCAGATGCAGAGGATGAGGCCGATGACCGACAAAGACTTATGAGGGCCAACAATACCACCACCCAGGCTGATAGCCCTTCACCATACTCAGGTAGAGGAAATGGAGCTCAATCTCAGGGTGTATCAGCGTCTGGAAATACGATGCAGCCAACATCCAATCCTCCAGTCTCTACCTCATCTAGAACAATACGCGGGGTGGGGTCGGCAAACGACGGGGTATTTGCGAACTTGGCTGCGAAGCCAGAAAGGGGCGAAAAGACGGAAGATCTACCGCCGGTATGTCTCTGAAAGCCTTACGGATTTTTTCCTCGATCAAGTCGAAGCGGGCTCTAGATGTATTTGCTAACATGTTGTAGTCATACGAGCAAGCTGCAGCTGATGCCACTCCTCCCTATTGGGAGACCACCATCGTCGCTCCTGGCATGTCTTCTGACGAAGTCTATGTTGATGGCCTCCCTGTCGGCTCCGTATTCTCCTTTGTCTGGAACGGCATGATTTCCACCTCTTTCCAACTCGTCGGTTTCCTCCTTACCTATCTCCTTCACACGACACATGCGGCAAAGAACGGCAGCAAGGCCGGTTTGGGCCTCACACTAGTCCAATACGGCTTTTACATGAAGGGCAGTACCGAGTTGAATCAACCGTCAGAACCCAATGGCGGCTATGTCAGTCCTCCTGACCCTAACAGCCACAATTTCGACCCAAACAAGGTGGGACAGGGTTCAAGTGACTCCGATGCGGGCACCGAGTCACATTCAGGCGTGTTCACTGGTATCACAACGAGCGAATGGATATCGTATATTCTTATGATTGTCGGATGGTTCATCTTGATCCGGTCCATTAGCGATTTCCTTCGGGCACGACGCCATGAACAGCTGGTCCTCCAAAGCCCCGAACGTGGACTCAGCGTGCCTATAATTGCAGAAGGCGAACAAGCTGAAACAGTTGTTTGAAACTGAGATAATCTTTGTTGCTACTTGTAAGTTATGGGATGAGGGTTTTGGTTTATTGTGGATGTTTTTTTTTTTTTTCACTTTGCTCTTTGGGGGATAACGGGGAATCGGAAATTTTGTAATTATCCCCAACAACGGTCTTGGAGCTCAGGCGTTCTCTTGATTTCCTTCTCTCACAATCTCCTATACTCACATCATTGGCTGTTTTTAACCTCTTACCGTTTTATTCATATTCTCTCGTACAGCGCATGCAGCCTCCCTGTTCCTCTCGTATTGGTGTAAACTTATACAGGCATACGTCATCCCCTTGTTGTCTCGCTGCCTTTTTGGGTCATCCTAGGTGCGGTTATTCGAGCACTCCTACAGAACACATATCTATATATTAAAAGCAGATACCAACACAATTTCTCTGTTCCATTTAGTTTGGTGTTTCCTTGTATGCACAGTGGTTTCATCATTCATCATCACAGTGTGGCTTATACCGAAGCCCAACGCCATGTCATTGGAGGGCGAATTGTGGTCTGCCCGTCTCCGTAGGGTAACACCAACGATCGTCAGATCTTGATTTTGATATTTCAAGGCGATATATTGTTGATTCAATCGTATATAACCTTAATTTTCATAAAGTTGCGACCTAACCGCTCGCCCGAAGACATTTAAGTTCCAACTTATTCCATCTGGATGTGCTCTTGACCTTTGCCGCTTGTTCTCGTCTCTTGTTCTTCAGCCTATTAGGTCCGTCTTGTTGGGGGCATTTTTTTTTTTTTGGCCGCTAGATATCTAAGAAACGCCCCGACACATCGAGAAGTGCTTTTGGTCCTTGGGAGCTCTATTCCGCACAATCGTGGATATAGCGCAGCTGAAAAAGGGGTGGGTGGGGGGAATACGAGGCGCTTGAATGGCTAAGCAGTCCTAGGGGCAATCTTTCCTTAAGGCTGCAGGTTTGTTTCTTTTATTTTTGGTTCCTCATTATTGCCATTTCGTTTGCCTATTTAAACCCCTCATGAAGCTGCACATTTTTGCGCCGGCTCTTCTTACCGCTGCATTTCTCTGATGGGAGTTGCACTTGGCTGCAGAAGTGTTTATTTGCATTGCAAGACAAGAGAAGCGCCTGAACTCGTCCATATAAAAATATATATATTTCCGTGAGTATTTATAATGTTCTAGATTTGCGCCGGCTTTGTGATCATAGGTTATTTTTGCATCCCTGCTGGTGATTGTCAGGTGTAGCAACAGCCAAAAGCAACCAAGACCCAACGATACGATGATGATGATGATGATGATGATGATGATGCAGCAAACGCTGAATGGTTGAAGCACACAAGGTGGATGGCAGTTCCAGGAACAGATATTCCTCGAGATATATTTATCTATTCAAGACAAAAACTGAGTCTCCAGATCTAGTTGGATATCACCAGGATCATGGACTCCTCGCGCCGCCGCGTCGTGGAAGCAAAATCGTATCTTCCGCTGATGACTCTGGCTGCCAACCCTCCTCGCTACCCGCGCAATCCTTCTAAAGCTCTGTTGGAACCCCTCGTGCTATATATCGTCCGTGTGCCTGGTAGTAGAGGTACGTGATGTCATATTTTCTTCTGGAGGAGACTGGTATGAAATATGTGACGTCGCAGATGATATACAACAATGTAAACGTTTGCATCCTCTACATTGACGCACGTAAGGAAAAGAGAGAAAAAAAAAAAAAAAGGAATAACGGCCCAAGTCTTTCTAACCTTTATTTTATATTCTATTCAGATGTCTTCCTTTCCCCTTTAAAACCCCCTACTGAATCTAGCATCACGTCCGAACTCATTAAAGCGGCGCTCTACTACATACATGTCGCAACCCCCGAGGATGAGGCAGTTCTTCGAGCAATCGAAAAGGAAAAGCACTCCAATAAATTTCTCCCGAACCCTCACCAGTCCTCCTCTTGTGTTACGCGGTTGAATTGCGTTAACAGAAAACCAGCACCAGGCGCTAATACGCAAGCTAGAGAGAACAAACGGCATTCGATTCCCAGACGGCCTGTATCGTCAGATAGAAATATCCCACATAGCGTCATCGCAAGAAACGACGATTCTCAAGCATGGGACTCTCGGATTCCTGATACACAGGTGCCAAATAGCCAGAGTGAATCACGATGGAAACGACGCCTCCCTCTCCGGAAACCGTTACCGCTTCCTCCCACTGGCTCCAGCAACGCTGCCCTCCCTCAGCCAGCCCCCAATACTGCTGAATCTATCGCAGAAGAAGTTGACCCGAGATGGAGAGAGCAATCCATAAGTGCGATAGCTCGAAGCAATAGCGAATCGTTAACATCATCCACCGTTCCTGCGATGGAGGGACAACATAATGGACGAGCTAGCTGGCATGGCGGGGGTTTGTCAATTACGTCCGAACGGCTCCAGAGGCAAAGCTTTTTCAGGTCCTCACATCTCCTCACGGATCAGATCTCTAGAAATTGTCGTATATCTAGTCCGTTTTCCAAACCGGGACGACGGCGGATGAGTGTGAAGGCCCGGGAACTCCCTCACCCTTTCCACCTCACGCTTATACGGCGTGATACGACCAATGACCACCAGTGGAACGTGGGGACAATAACGAACTGCGCTTCCTCATCCTCGCCAGATGTAGCATTGGACGGCACGATAGCAATCGAAATCCTCACGCCGGGCTATAAGAAGCTGGCAGGAGAGCGAATACCCTTATTCCCAACAGAGCGACACACCCCTTCCACATCCACGAATGGCGAACCATTAAAATTCATCCGCCACCTCACCTTCACCTCCCCGCAGAGCCGTCGCAATGGCCATGGCCACATCTGGACCTCCAGCAACAGCTCCCTTTCCCTAGATCTGGCCTATAACAAAGATCCACCTGCTTCAAAAATACAACGAGGAAAATACTACTCGTTCACATCGCCTTGGGAAGGCATCTGCACCTTCACCACAGGCGTCAACGGCCGCACCCTAAAGTGCAAACATACCATCCCAAACAGCATCCCCTCCCTTGCCGGCCTAAATCTCCCAACTACTACAAACAGCGATAATCCAGATGACCCCAAGCCCCGTCTAAACTTACAACAACTGCAGTCCGCCCTCGAATCCTCAGCTGCAGCTGCTAGTTCCCCCCCGTCAACCCAGGGATCAACAGTCACAGTGGCAGAAATCCGCTTCAATCTACCCATGTTCTCCTCACAAAATAGTGGACATAATTCCAAAAGCAATACGCCATATGCCAGCCACGATACTACGAATGAGACTGCACTCATAGCGAGCGTCCTTCGCAGCCGTGCGGAGGGGCTAGCTGGCCGCTTGGATCTTAGTTTGGGTCGTGAACGCGCCGGCGGGGGAGCGTTTGGTAAAAGTGCGAAGTTGGGCAAGTTGATTATTGAGGATGAAGGGTTAAAGATGTTGGATCTGGTTGTGGCGGCGTGCATGGGGGTTTGGTGGGGGGTTTATGATGGTTTATGTTGACTGGAAGAGGTTGCTTTGGTATTTGAACTGAATTTAATATTATGTACCGCGATATATATGAGTGCAGGGTAATATTGAGGTATGAGTTGTGTGTGATAGAAGACGTAACGAAATCTCAAGGCGTTGGAGTTGGATAATTTGGAGGAGAAACGAATCCTGCTATTTTTATTTTTTATTTTTTGGTTAATGGCAATAACTAATTATCTCTATCTATTTTTCCCGGGACCTTACATGCCGTTTCCTTTCTATCTTATTTGCTATGGCACTTATTTTATTTTATTTTTTTTTCACTGCAAAACGGAGGCGTCCTTGGGTTTGATACACTGTACTTGGACAAGTTGACTAGGAGGAACCTGAACACATCCCGCTGTACGGGGTTTTACCTCTCTTGCGTTGTTGAAGGGGGGTATCCCTCCGTCTAATGATGAGATACGATTTACATCTTCTTCCACTCCTCCCTTTTTCTCCTCTCCTTCCACAACCACACGCACTTACGACCATCCAGACATCCCACGGCACGGGGCACACCCGCACGTATATATACCCCCACTAGAAATACACAGCAACAATTCAATTGAAAATAGACTCGTTTAAGGCTTGGGAAAGGGGTTGACACGGTGCTATTATACCTGAGATGCAAATGCATGCCTAACGGATCAAAATCTCCCGTGTCCATATCTGAAAATCCACGGTCCAAAACACAACCCGTACACTCCCACCCTCCCGCCCTTTGCAATCCTTTAGCTGAAAGCTACACGGTGCTTTCTGAAAAAATGGAAAAGAGAAACAGACAGACAAACAAACAATGAAAGAAAGATAACACTGAATGTAAAGTCGAGTTTCATCATTTTGTTGGTGTGAATGTCTTTTGGGATTTTGGGTTCGTTGGTACGTACATATGGAGGGTTCGCATCAGACGAAACTCATGGTTTGCAGAGGGGAGAAGGGGAAAGGTAAAACACAAAAAGTGAATGTCGTCTATTTCGTTTGCCTTGAGACTTTCACTTTTCTTGGATCGACATCTGGATGTGAATGCCGGTGGAGCGATTGATTAGGGATGGCGGCTCTCCTTTTCCGTCATCTGTTGAATGTAAGTCGGTAGTGTCGTGAAATAGGCTGGTTGGAATAAACCAAAAAAAAAAATAAATAAATAAATAAAATAAAATAAAAAAATAAAAATAAAAATTTAAAAAAAAGAATAGATAGCTGTGTATCTTGAGTGTCGAGAAGGGGAAACGAATTTTTGTTCGGATTCGATTCACCAAACATATAAAATCTAGATAAAAGAAAAGGAGAGAGGAACAAACCGTTGGGGGCATACCAGACCTGAGTAGCATATCACGATGACTATAAGGAATAGTAGCAAACACGAGGTGAAAACAATGTGTTCTCAATGATACAACAAGTTACATATATGAAAAAAAAAAAAAAGTTTATGACCAAAAACAGACAAAAATAAGTGAGAGAAAACGAACGCCCATGATTGTTTAACCAATGAAAGAAAATAATGGAAAAAGAAACGAGGTATATGAGGTAAATCAATAAATCAAAAAGGACAAAAAAAAAATCCTCTCCCCTACATACTTTCTTTGGAAATACCCGTTTGACCACACAAGCCGCGTACCGTAACCAGGAAACCCACACATCCGTGATATGGTATTTGGGAACTGTTGAAAGGAGATATTAAAATGAAAAATAAGCCGGCGAACGGTAAGGGGTGTGATAGGATCTAGGTGTGCAGCGCTTCTTGGGCTAGCACATTCCGCACTAAGAAGAGAGAGCCAAAAAAAAGGACAAAATAAGAAAACAATTCAAAGGCATGAATGAAGCAGCGTGAGTATGTTGGGGTGAGAATTTTTTTTTTTTTTAAAGAGTGTAATAAAGTAGGGACCATATTACAATATGTCAACCTTTTCCATCATCATTCACTCGGGTGGATAGATTTCAAGTTGTTTGGTATCAAGCACAGAGGCCAGAAGTTACGGGGTGAACCAGTTCGAACCCTTGTTAGGAGGAATCCCCGTAACCAATTCCACTGTCTCTCATATACTACGTAAATCGAAATTGGTAAACAATGAGGGTTTTTTTTTTTTTTTTTTTTTTTTTTTATGTTGACAAACAAGTCGTCCGCATCATCACGCTTCAAATGCCATAACGCCAGATAGAGTTGTGGATAAGAGCTCGTTAAGAACAGTCGAATGTAGATCGAGGAATCGGAGGGTGAGAAGTGAGAGGGAGTGCATGGGAAGAAGACCGTGCGTGAACATAGGAACGAAGTAGGAATATCGAGTGTTGAAATATAAGTAAACGTGGCAGCTCGACGAGAAACGGGATGACAGCGTGCATGTAAATTCAGAGGAAGTAAACGAAAATGTTCACGCAATTTTCGACCTTCTGGAGAGAGGGGTTGTTGGAAATTATAGACAGGTTTGGGCGAGCCAGCTCCTTCCAAGGATTCATTAATAATGACTGCCGTCCGGGTTGGTAACCTAAAAGAAGTTTGTAAGTAGCTGACAAACAGGTATCCAGCTGGGGTATTCTGGCAGCAGTCATACCTTCAAAATCCTTCTGGAAAAATCTTGGTCGTCAGCGATGCTACCATTGCTCTGGCGTCGTTGTGACATCATGGCTGGATCCAGGCGGGAGTCGGACATTGAGGATTGCTGAGAATTAAATGGCTTCCCCCCAGAAACGAAGTTGCTAATGGTAGCGTTGCGGCGATATTCCTCCTCCACCTCTTTGCGCTTTTTGTACTTCATGTATAAGAACCCACCACCAATTAGGGCCCCGAGAGCAATAACGCCAACTACCACACCAGCTGCGATGCCAGCTTTGTTCGGGCCACCATTTGGTGTTGCAGAAGATGTGGGTGTGACTACGACCGTTTCCCCTGCTCCGGTTGTGAGAACCGAAGAAGAAGTGGAAGTGCTAGTACTCTGCGACGAGGTCCTTCCGCCAACTACAGGGATCTGCTTCTCCTTCAAGAGGCCAGTAAGGTGAACGTGATATGCATTGGATCCTCCGCCTGGAAATGGTCAGCTTTTGTTATTTGAAACGAGTTCTGGTTGGGGACATACACGTCTCGTCTGGAAATCCTTGGCAACTTAACTTGCACTCTTCGACTTTCGTCTTTTCCGAGTCTGCTGGTATTCTATCTCCGCAATAGCAGTTGGAGCCTTTGTAAAGTGCCATGACAGATTTTTTCAGTTTCAGGCATTCGTCCTGACAATAACCAACTGACTGCCAAGTGTATTCTCCAAGATCCTCAAATGGTTTCACCGCTTTGTAGCAACCTATGTCGACGGTCTTGTTCTTTGGCCCGATAATACCATCTCGAAGAACGACCCGAATAGGATCGGATACGGCCACGGTGAGGACGGAGGCCAAAACAATGGCCTGGTACGCGAACGACTTCATCTTTTAGAAGGTGTGAGGTGTTCGAGTAGAGGAGATGGGAAAAAAAGAAAAGAGAAAGAAAAATAAATAAATAAAAAGTCCAAATCGTGATTGGAAGTCGTATAATCCAATACTGGAGTCCTAAGGGCCTCTCAAGCAAGAAACCAGCAAGGACAAAAACTAAGATTCTATTCTCAGTTATCCAACCCGGATTTACCTCCCTATCCTTCTGTCGTGACGAAACTGCTAGAACGTTTCTCCAGTTCGTTTCTCTCTTTCCTTCCTTCCTTCCTTCTCTCTAGAAGGACAGCAGATTCCTCTGAATATTGTCCTTTCTTAGCAATCCACCATCGAAACGGTTGTTGTCCCTGGGGTGATGGCAACGATAGATAGATAATTGGCTCCTATCAATGGGTGACTGACCCACGGCAAATCCGGGCCACTAGGGGTTTTCGATGGAGTAACGCTCGATGAAAAATCAAACAGAGGTGTACAGATGTTCGATATATGAGAGACACGCGATGTCTGGATGTGGATGTGTACCTGGGCGGTAGGGTGAAGGAGTGGGGAAGAGGAGTCGACTCACCCCCTGATGTCCCTGTGCAGGACGATCGGTCAAATAAGAGGGAAAATGAATGAACGCATGAAGGAGTATTATTATTCTGGAAGCAGGAGAAAATCCAAGGGAACAGAAAGGCAGTAAGACGACTGCCACAGTCGATAGAAGCCAACTAAGGAGCGGAATGGAGGGTGGAGGGAGGGCGGAGGGAGGGCGGACTGGATGGGGGGATGTTGTCCAAACGAGCGTGGATGAAAGACGGTGTTGGGATTGCAGACTTTTGGGAGAGGGGGACGAAGCAACAACAACACAACGAAGACAGACAGACAGACAGACAGACAGGCGCAGGCAAAGGCAAGCGACTAGGCCGCTTTTGGCGGGAGCGTGAGAAAACCGCCCGTGGTTGTATTAAGGTGGTATCTTGTATGTACGGGTAATTGGGCGGTGGACAGCATTACTACTAGTGTAGCCTCCTGGGTGCAGGCTTGCGACGGTCAGGATCCCCGCCCCTCATATCTCGATATCTTAGCCGGCTCTGATTGGCGAAGGGGTCATTTAAGATCCGTCGCTCTGACAGTGCGTTCCTGGTATGTAAGATACGGATACTTACGGCTCTCCCGACGGAGTGCAATCAATTATTTATTATCCACCACCGCACGTATCGGTAACTGTGTACCACTGCACCTGTTCCGATAACTTTGGTTGGTTCGTTAACGTTGGTCGTTACCAGGAACACCGCTGGCCCTAGCTTATTCAGGCTAAACCTTCCACCTCCACCACCGGGTTTTCTTCCTTGGAGGACTCCTGTAGCTACAGAAGGGGAAGAAGAAACCATCAGAGAAGAATCTCAGCAGCTCTCAGCAACTCTCAGCGTCCCATTGCCCGATCCTCTGACACAGCCGACGACGGTAATTGATCTTGGACTACCGCACTCCTCCTCTCCCTTTAAAATCCAATGGAAAATAAAAACAGCCAAATAATTAACCTCTCAAGACAATGCACACAGTCAGTTCTTCCGCATGCCGGGTGACGTTATCTGTCAATCCATCTGTGGATGATTGTTTGCCCGCCCCTTGGATTTTTGCCTCTCGTTTCAAGGCGCTTGCTTGGAGACATCCTTTATCTAGTTATCTTTTTCAGAACAAGCTTGAAAACAAGACTCCGGAGGCAAAAACTCCCTTCTTCCCACCACTGCTTCTTTGTTTTTGACGTCCTCTGGTCTCCACCACCTCTAACCCCCCCCCCCCCCCCGGCACAGTACGAAATACAATCTCAAAGAAAACTCGAGACTCAAAATATCCCATGGGTGAATGGCTCGTTGAGTCCCTGATAAAGCAGTCTCGGCATTCCCCAATCCGCAAACAACCACGTATGTAAAATAAACACGTCAGAACCCAAGGCCTCGTAACACAGCAAACGCCACAGCTTGGGTAGGATCTCGAGGCAGGGATTGGTCCTATTTGGGCCCCATTTTGCCAGCTAAAGCCCCCCCCCCTTAACTCTGTACTGACTCTGACTTGAAAATTTGAGAAAAAGTTAGCGGCCCACGAATTGGAATCGCCTTCATGGCTCGACCCTAAACTCAAACTGAACAAGCGTTACAAAATTTCAAGTTTTCATCCCTGTGTTGCCATTAGCACAGAGCAGCCAACAAACATGCAAGATAAGCCATGAAACTTCAAACAAAAGGGTAGCAGCCTTGACTCTTTGACTCGAGATTATCTGAGGTTGATCAGGACCTAGCTTGTTTCAATTTGTTGTTCCTGTCACTGTGTTTTCAATGGTTTTCGCCCTCCAAGCTTGGAAGCTCCCATTCCAATAATTCTAGAAAAATTACGTCTGGTTTGTTGGACTGCATGGGTATTTTTAATCTTGGCTCAAGAACAGCTGAGGGTTGAGGGAAGGAAAATGAGGAGAAACACTCGCCCCGGTTGGAGACTCCCTCGGTCATCTTATCTCAACCGTTTACATCTAACTGCCTCGACTTTAGGACAGGTGGGGAATGCTCGAGGTCCCTGAAAACGACCTCATCCGGGAATTAAGAAGCAAATCGCCACTTAAATAGCTCTCGGGGAGACCGTTCTCATCATTCCTCTACCAAGCACAATCCGACGGGTTTCCGTGAAGGAATTGTCGTAGTTCATTTATCCTACACGAGGGTACCCAGTATATAACATGCATGCACGGTGCAACTCGGGTTCCTTTCGACTAGCAGGTTTTCTGCAGAGCAATCACTGTTTTATGAAAACAAGACATCTTTTCCTCAACCATCAAATCAACCGTCTCTCGTCCCTTGCACGTTCCCCTTGTTAGCTGTTGGTGGTGTGTGTCGTTCATCAACCTTGCCTATTGCAAGCTCTTACGAGGACTACAAGACATTATCCGTCAAACATCCCTGGAATGGACGTGCGGGTAACCGCATCAACCCAACGACAGATAATTTCCAATGCTGGTGTTTGCATCTTTAAAAACACCAAAAGGATACGAATGTCCACACTTGTTTGTCTTCTAGAAGTAAAGCAATCAGGCGGAACGGTTCCAAACGGCTTGCTATTTTTTTAGGAAAAAAAAAAAAAAACACCCTCCCCACTATTCGGCCACAGACTGCGGCAAATCCTAGGGTTCTCATTTTTATGTTGACTATTTTCCAGCCACGATGTAGGCCATGTATAAATATAACAATTTGAGTTGTTCTGGACTTATCTAGGAGGAGGGAAGTGTCTAGATCTGCATTGATCTAAAAGAAAAACATAATTGATATCTACACTTCGGTTAAGATGAGTGAATGATACGATGATATTGAGATGCGCAGACGGTTTGTGTTTTCCGTTTCAGGGTCAAGAGCACGGGAAAGAAAAGATTCTGCCTTTCTTGTAATACTACCAAAAAACCGGGAGACATGATTAAGAAAGACAAAACTTTAACTCGTTCCGGATATCTAATCGAAAACCATGCAGAATGCATGTTAGGTTGACATCCAGATGACTCTGCGCATAACTGTAGCTAAAGACAACAATTCTACGGAGGACGGACCTGCCCATTATTCCGAACCGCATGGAGGAATTCTCCCTGCGATTCCACAGTTGGATGTTCGCCCCCTTGAAGTTGATCTCCGCTCAACTGCGCGGTTGGGCTCTCCCCAATCGCGAATTCATCGGTCAGTCTCCAGTCACAGTTCTCTTTTCGCATCAACAATAACCGCTGTCATCAACTGCCAATGCCATCCACTGTTTTGAAACTTGCCGTTTTACTGATGCCAGCCATACATGAGTACCACTACGCCTGGCTACAGGTGTACATCCATTAATCCCTGAAATTTAAATGTTGCGATTAACCGCCATGCCAGCATATATGAACATGTTTCGAAGCGCCGGCTTCTCGAACTCACATATCACTTGATGCAAGCTGCGGTGGAATGCACTTCCAGCTGAACCACTGAACCAATAATAGCAATTACATGCATTATTTATTTATTTATTTGTTTATTTTTTGCCCCCACCCATCCAATCTCAACTCACCCAACCATCATTGCAGCTTTTGTGCAAATTTGGCGCGTGGATGAGCGAGAAAGCGGGGGAAAGGCTTTTCGATTCGCGCCAACCACCCACGCGCCAGGCATGTTGGCCATCTCACAGCGTCATGCACTCAACATTTCACAATCTCTGCACACTCAGGCCCTCAGTGGCATGTTCTCTACAAAACGGTTACGTGTGCATGTACGTATGTACGTTACATACAAGCACCATACACCTGTGTAGTGGTATCATCAGAGAAAGGGCATTTGATATTGCGGATCGACATGCGGAAATCCTAAAACGATGCGATGATGACGATGGTTATTTATCTGGCTCGTGCAGATCGTTCGCCCTGCTGCTTTGTTATTGGATGTTTGGATCTGATGTGTTTCATGGCAACGATGCTGAGAAAGACGTCGTCTATAGAAATAAAACAAGCGGGAGGCCGGGAAGAGGAAGAAGAAATTATGCCCTTTCGAGTAGGGTTGTGATATGCTCTTCCATTATTTCCCTTCGGGGTGTGTTTATGTTTTAATTCTACCCAACAGCAAACGAAGAGCACATAGTAGCTATCGCAGAGAAAGACTAGAAGCCAGCCAAGGGTCGACAAGCAGAGGCCCCCGTGCACTTGAACTCTCTCGAACACGTCAGACTGTTCATCACAAGGCGGAACGGATTGAAGCAACGCAAAGACTCAATTTAAAGGCTTGCAACGGAGGCATCGTTGCGTCCTGGTCCCTAAATCGCTTCACCCAATCGTTATATTTTTTTTCTCCCCCCGTGGAAAGTGCTTGTTGATAATAATGTATTCGGATGTGTTATTCGGATGTGAATGGGATCTACGGAGTACCAGACATGACTTTCGAGGAATCAATGTCCTGCCGATGATGCAAGAGGCTGGATGCTGGAGTTTAAATATAGGTTGCGTTTTGCATGCTTGCTTGCCTCGTATGCGCAGCTATTCTCTTCCTGTTCCATATCCGTGCTACTCAGTGGCATACAAGTCATCGTTTTCGCTCATGTTTGGGGGGAGTGGATTTTAACAATCTTTCCGGAGGACATGTTTATCAATTGGGAACCTGGGACCGGAATTCTTGAACCTTCTCTTGCTCTGGCTAATGCCACCCTCTTCTCAATGCATACTGGCATGTGTTGCATGTATACAAATTCGAAGACTATTCCAGGTTTGCGCATACATGTCCTTATCGAAGATTGACTCTGCGTATCTATGATGCGTTGTGACATATTTACCTATGGGAACAGTGAGATATTCAGCCCTGTCTTAAATATATCCTTTTTCTCCCTCTTTCTGATTTTATTGTTTTTATGGCCTATATTCCACCTTCAAGGTGAACTTTACAGGCACTATCCGAAATAGAAAAGAAAAAAAGCTCCGTCCTCTCCGTTCAAATATATTCATTATACCGGTTTGTCTTTGGCTACCTGTTCGGACCGATATATCATATGTCTGTTCATATACTCTCCTTAGTCAGGTGAGGGCCTGAAGCCTCCCTGTTTCCGTGTAGGCCGCTATTCGGAGCTGCAGACCTCACAAACTGCCGTACTCAAAGCTTCAGCTAGTGTCTGGCTTGCTTTTGTCCTTGCGTGCGTGTGGGTTGTAAGGATGGCTGACTTGACATATCTATCACAGGCGGTTCAACAGATATTTGCAGATTTGAGGCCCATAGTAGTCAAGTTTGTCACGAGTTATCTCGCTCGCGCATATTCGAAAACCTTCGTGCCGCAGAGTTCCATGGTAGGAATAGCATGGTGCCGATATGGATATCCCTCCCGAGCCGATAATCGCGCAGAATGTCATAAACGCATATTTGCGTGGGCGTGTATGGCTTCCTTATAAAGCGCCACAATAGCTTATCTTGAATATATCCATGATCGAGGAACCTAGACATAAGGGCCGGAGATACTTTCCTTCTATAGATGAACAAAAGGGATATTCCCTGACGTTATTCGGAAGATATGCCATTAGTGTGACATTCCCTATCCCTTTCCATCATCCCTTTAAATCCTGAAAACATAGCAGAAACAGACAGACAAACATGCAAACAGCAATAGGTATGTCATATAAGAAGTGTGGGGAAACGGAAACAACACAAAAAAAAAAAAAAAAAAAAAAAAAAAACCAACGTATCCCACTATTTTGTCTTTGAAAAGGACCAAAAATTTAACATGATATCGCCTGCCCCTTCTCACTTTTTTACTATCAAGAATCCGCCCTTGTTGCGCTATCCGTCGTATACACAAACTCTCACTTCTCCTTTGCACCCTCCGTGTCTTTCACATATGCTTGATTTCTTATCCCTCCTCACAGTTTCGGAATATGTATCGTTCTACTAACCATCAAACAACCATGAACCACAAACAAACCAACAGCCGGGTGAAATTCCAATAGTGAACCCGCACCCACCACGCCAAACGGTATTTCCCCCAGAATCCAATCCTGCGACACCCAATACGCCATCAGCGCCGCAATCACCAGCGTGGTCGGAATCGGCGTGCCTTCGAAATACTGCGCTTTGCCCGATGTATCCTTGGGCAGAGTGGCGACGGTCACATTGAAGCGGGCAAGTCGGGTAAGGCCGCATAGGACGAAGAAGGTGAGGAATATGTGGTCCAGGGGGCTGCGCATGCCGATTGCGAAGGCGGTGGCAGCGGGAGCGATGCCGAAGGAGACCTTGTAGATTGAAGAAAGATTGTTAGATGGGGAGTTCAGCAAAACATGGCGATCATGCATGTATTGTAGTTTTGATATTACCAGATCAGCTAAAGAATCGAGTTCTTGGCCCATCATTGACGCTTTTCGTCGCCACCGGGCAATTTTTCCGTCCATAAAATCGAAGAGGAGACCAAATGGCATGAATGACAGGGCTATCCATAGATCCCTATATTGGGTCGACTCGCCTAGACAGTATCGCATCGATGAGAAGACAGACATGACTAGATGGAATGTTAGATGGGAAGATTTCAGATTTCGGATTTCATATCGGAATGTCGACTTGCCTCCGCAAAACCCTGTAGCGGTGCAAAATTAGTTTTGCGCAACGAGAAACAGAGAGCACAGAAGGATAGCCGAACTTACCATTCAATTCAGTAACAAGATCGGCCAGATGTAGCGCCCTGCATATATCGAAATAATAACCATATCAATGACTTTGTTTTCTTATTTTAAGACCTTGCGATAGGAAAAGGTTATGTAAGAGTGGGAACAGACCTGAGCAAGCTGAAATGGCCCGAGTCCGCCGAGAGCAGCATTTTCTGCTTGTCTATTACTGTAGCAGCATGTTAGCTGCATGCGCCCAGAAGCCATCCTTTAGGGATTTAATGTAAGCGCTCACCACGGTCCTTGCTGTTTGTATCGTTGCTGGGAGCATCACTGCCAGCAGGGCTGGGAGCGGCGGAGCTTCTTCTCGACATACGGAGTAGAGGGTGTTATTATTGTTGAGTTGCCACAGCTCTGGATAAAGTAAATTTACCCAAGATAGCAAGAAAAAAGAATAAAATATCTGGTTGGCAGTGGGGGAGTGGATGGATGGTATTGAGCGGCGAGGGAAGAACAAATAACGAAATTACAAGTTGAGACTCGAGTTGTCGAGGTTCACCAGAACCAGCCGGGGATAACATTTCGTCATATTTGAGGGGAACCAAGCCTCGAACCAAAACTGCACATGAACAGAAAAACAACGGCCTCTTCGAAAAGTTGGAACCGCTGAGTTTCGATGAAACTCAAATACTAACCTTGGAAGGTCTGGAGACTACATGCTCTCTGTAGCTAATCTTCTATGGAAATTCTTCAATTGACTCAGCAGAATAAATGCACGTCTTTACAACATGCACCCAGGTATCTTAGATATCCAGTCCCACAATTAAATAATTACCCAAATTCCCTCATAAAGCAGAAATCGAAAAGAAAAATAAATAGAAATCGAGAGAAAAGAATCGGTTTTGCACACAGCATGTATCAGTTGGGTAAAATTAATAACCACCGTTAAGAACTCCCAAAACGCCGATAAAAAGAAAATAAATAAATATAACTAGAACCTCTTCCCGCCAAATCCCCCGCGAGACCCGCCCCTAGAGCCGCCCCGGGATGAAAAACCCCCTCTCCCACTTCCTCCGCGCGGCGCCCCTCGTCCTGGCCCTCCGCCTCGGCCTCGTGGAGCGCCTCTTCCTCTGGGAGCTCCGCGACCACCACGCCCACCACGCGACGCACCCCGCCCAGCGCCACCGGCTTTCTTTGGTTTCGACACACCTAGACAGGGTAAGAAAGTATACTGCGATGTAGAAAACAGGAATTGAATGGGTATACCTACCTGGTGGTGGTTTTGCCTTAGGCAAAAACCTGGTGAAGAAAAAGAATATGTTAATATATAGACTTGCTCAGTCGACATATTGGTGTTTGTTTGATAGGTTTGGTTACATACTTTTCCAATGGCAGCAACTTGTCTCCTCCAATGTAGAACTTGTCGCCTGATTTGAACGAAGTTGCGATGATTCCTTCCTGGGGCTTTATGGTGAAGTAGACATGGTTGATAGGGCCGAGGACTTCATCAACTTTTCCGACGGGAGTCTAATGCGCACGCATAAACCATATATAAGTATTAAAATCTCATGCCTCCTCCTTCACATGGGTAACTTTGGGTTAGATAATTTATCCGCACCTTATTTTCCAAGTATATCGGCGCATTGAAATAGGGGATTTTAGGGTTGATGGACTCGCAAACCATCTCTCCTTCACAGGCGTGCAAGAACGAACCCATTTCTGCCCACATTAGCTTCCTACGCAGCAAAAGAATCGATCGCAGGCTTAAGGCTCACCCAATACTGAAGGTGGAGGGCCGAATGACGACTGGAAACCGCCTCGTCCTACGGAATTATATGTGTCAGATTAAAATCAAGTCAACAGCGGGCTTTGCGCACTGCGTGAGTCAACCTACCACCTCGTCCTCCGCCTGAGCTGCCGCGATTGGCTCCAGAAGCAAAGCCACCGCGACCTCGACTGCCTCCTCTAAACGACATGATTGTGGGTGATTGAGTCAGTGATGGGGAGGAATGCAGCACTGTCGAGGGCTTTTCGGTAGCTTCAATTAAATTGTTTCTCCGACAAAATTTAGTGGGAGCAAAAAAAGCTAAACACGTGATACACCGCTTTCGATACTTTCTCTTTTTCCTGCGCCATATAAATGATACAGACAACACAACAACTGGACTCAGACTTGTCTCACAGCAACATACAGACATTGCTGTATGAGGAATTAGTTGTGCCAGTCCATCACCGTGTACCAATATGGCTGGAGATACCTCCAGCGTTCCCAGTTCCGAAAATCAGCACCAAGGCGTTCCTTTCCGTCCTGCCATGGGGCATGCTTTCTCCCCCTCCGATTCATCTGCCCCGCCTCCAGAGAAAGCTGCGAAAGCGAAGTCGAAGAAGCCCGAATCCACAGCTGAGGAGCCTCTGCCGGATTTCATTGTAGAGCGGAATAAGCTGTTTGAGGAGCTGAAGCGAAAACATGACGAAGAATTAAAACATAAACCCCGCTTCGATATCAATATCACTGTTGACGTTGGCGATTCTCACCCTTCCACAGTCATTGGCAGAGCGTGGGAGACCACTCCAGGCTCGTTTCTACGTGATATACCCAAGGAGATTAGTTCTACTGTGGTGGTTGCAAAGTTGGATGACAAAGAACTTTGGGATTTGGACAGGCCGTTGGAAAGGGATTGCAGGGTGTCTTTCCTCCCCTTTGACTCTTCAGAAGGGAGGGAGGTTTTCTGGCATTCCAGCGCCCACGTACTGGGAGAGGCATGTGAGTGCTATTACGGCTGTTTGCTTTCACATGGCCCACCGACCCCTCAGGGATTTTTTTATGATATGGCCTTGGAGCCAGGGTAGGTTTTATTTTATTTTATTTTATTTTATTATTTTTTTAACCCTCCTTGAGAAATTTAGTGTACTAAGAATAAAATTCTCTATAGTCATGTTGTGAAAGAATCCGACTGGCCGGCGCTTGATTCAAAATCAGCCCGTATTTTCAAGGAAAAGCAGCCTTTTGATAGACTCGAAGTCTCCAAAGAGAACCTGAAAAAAATGTTCGCCTACAGCAAATACAAATTGCACTATATTAATAATCTCGTTGAAGGGGAGAGCAGCACAGTATATCGATGTGGTACTCTGGTCGACCTTTGCAGAGGTCCTCACATCCAAAATACTGGAAAAATTAAGGTCATGAAGATTATGCAGGTTTGTATATATAGAGTATTGACTTTGTTTTGAAACCAAGAGACTAATGTCACCTCAAGAACTCTGCGGCCTATTTCTTAGGTGATCAATCTAACGATACTCTGCAACGGATACGTGGTGTCGCCTTTCCTGACAAGAAGCAAATGCAGGAGCATCTGAAATTCCTCGAAGAAGCAGAAAAGCGGAATCATCTGAGGATCGGCAAGGAACAGGATTTATTTTTCTTTGACGAAGTTTCTCCCGGATGCCCCTTTTTGCTTCCAAATGGCACGAAAATTATCAACGCCTTGCAGTCCCTTCTCCGAGCTGAGTATCGTAAGCGCGGTTATCAGGAAGTTCAATCTCCAAACATGTATGATGTTGGAATCTGGCGTCAATCCGGACATTGGGCTCATTACAAGGACGACATGTTCAAGCTTGATGTTGAAAAGAGAGAATGGGCATTGAAGCCTATGAATTGCCCTGGACACGCAGTCATGTTCGGGCACAGAGAGCGGAGTTACCGAGAACTGCCTCTTCGGATAGCAGATTTCGGTGTGTTGCATCGGAATGAAGCGTCTGGTGCACTCCACGGACTGACGAGAGTGCGAAAATTCCAGCAGGATGATACACATATATTCTGCACTGAGGATCAGGTAGATATCCTATGTTTTATACTCCCCCCGTTGATCACTTCTTACTAAATCACGGGGCAGATCATGCAAGAGATCGATGGCCTATTTGATTTCTTGCGTTCCGTGTACGGATTGTTCGGTTTTAGCTTCAAATTGAAACTGTCTACAAGACCAGAAAAATACATGGGAAAGCTCGAAACCTGGAATTACGCTGAAGAGCAATTGCGTGCCGCCTTGACTAAATTCAAAGGCAATGACTGGGAGGTTGACGAGGGTGATGGCGCTTTCTACGGGCCGAAAATTGACATCACTATCCAAGATGCATTGAAGAGAGAGTTCCAGTGCGCCACCATCCAACTGGACTATCAAATGCCAGTGAATTTCAAGCTCGAGTACATGACTGGCGAGACGGGAGCCAAGGCGAAGCCCGCAGACAAAACCACGGAAGATGCTGCCAACCCAGATGCTCCATCCACCAATAGCAGCAGTGAGCCAGGCCCAGGCCGTGCTCGTCCAGTTGTCATTCACAGAGCTATTATCGGGAGCTTCGAGCGATTCTTAGGCATTATCATCGAACATTTCGGTGGTAAGTGGCCGTTCTGGTTGAGCCCGCGGCAAATCTTGATTGTACCTGTGATGCCTGCCGTCAACGATTATGTGGAGGAGCTACGGGAGATTCTCCGAGGGGATAAATTGAACGTTGATATTGATATCAGTGGCAACACGATGCAAAAGAAAATTCGCAGTGGACAGATTGCGCAGTATAACTTTATTTTTGGTAAGTAAACCCTTTTTTTTTTTTTTTTTTTTTTTTTTTTTTTAATCTCAACTTTTTCTCTTTTGGTGATGTTCAGTCTTCCCTCCCTTGGCAGGAGAACAGCTTTTGATACTAATTGCAATACTTTTGAAACTATATAGTCGTGGGCGCACAGGAGAAGGCAACCCGTACCGTGAATATTCGTAACCGCGATGATCCTAGTTCTCAAGCCAAAGGTAGTCTTGTTCCACTCGAAGAAGCTCGTGTCAAACTGCGTGCTCTTCGTAAGGAGCGTCGCCTTATCAACGCACTTTAGATTGACGTAAAAAGTTTTTAATTCAAAAGCGAAATCGGAATACTAAGCTTATATAAGATAAATTTATATAACTAGTTAATGTTTTGATTTGGCTTTTTGTTATATTTTATTTCCTCATCCGTTGTTGTCCTAGCCTTCTGTTTTACTATACTTCGCCAGCGTGGTGGTTGATTGGCGACGGCTAGAGCTACCCGTAAATATAAAATTGGTCTCTCACAAGACTAGCGCTTTTGGCAACACTTGTAAAAATCATATTCCGATCTTTGATGCTGGTATTCTCCTCGGAGAAAGAGTCATTAAAAATGTTTTAACTGAAACATTGTAAGACCCCAGTCTAGGCATAGAGTACAGATTTCTGATTTCAGACAGGGAAGGGGGGGGGGGGGGGGAAAAAAAAAAAAAAAAAAAAAAAAAAAAAAAAAAAATCAAGCATTGGAAAAGCACAATTTGACCAACAAGAGACTTTGTCTGGAACCATTTTAGATTTGGAGAGGTGAAGGGACTTCTGTGTCGTTGGATGATGCAGGAGGCTGGTTTCCCACTTTTCTGTCAAAATATAATTCCCTCACGAAGCGGGCGTTTATGTTTTGTTTTGTCCACAGTTCCATGTCTCCAATATCGTAAATGGCATACGATTAATAGTGGAGAGAGCTTATATTTCACCTTTCGCCTCAAGCATCCATGTAGCTTATTAAAGAAATAGCTTGCATCTGTGATTGGGGGTTGGGGTGGTGGGGTTGTGTGTACGCAGCAAGGAAGGCAAGCAGTGGAACTACGCCGTATATTGCAGCGCCGTTCCAGAGAAAGAAAAGAGTCGTGCGGAATAGAGGATCAACATGAATGCTAGTGGACATATCAGGTATCGGGGGATAGGACATCCAATATCTCCTTAGCTTCTCACTATGATTTTCTTTGATCTTCAACTCCTAGCGGCCCAGTTTTAGTTCCCTATCAAGTTTCTGTGGCATCCCACTTAACCTGAATTTCCTGTTGCTCTCACATCGCGATATGGGGTCCTGGGTAGACAAGAGAACTTCATCGATCGCCTCGGTGGGTCGGTCCCGCTTCACCATCTGGTCTGGTCCCATCTTATCACTGCAGTTGATTGGTGTCGATGCTTTAGAGACGATGCCTGCTGATGTCAGTTGCGAGATCTATTTAACTATTTAATAAAGCTTGGTACTTACGGCATTCAACCAGCCTCTTGGATGGCTTAAATCCAACCTAAACCGTTCGGAGGATCCGGGATTGGATGAGCTGGCAGAGGTTGCCCAGCGTCTTTTCCTTCCTCTCTTGCGGGCCAGCACATTCGGTACTTGAACCTCGAGAATCAAAGATCTCCTGTAATTTTTCAAAACTCCGTGAAGGCACGGCCATTTGATATAATTGATCCTTGTTGGTGCCGTGAGCTGGGCTTCCTTTCGCTAGCTTGGCCTGATCATTCGGAAATTTCCTAGGTGAAGGACAGGGAATGAGAGGCAAATCCCGAGAAAATGGAAAAAGTTGCTGCCTAAACACCAAGGAAGGAGCGAAACTGCAGTCATAGTGCGTTGTAGTGTTGTCTCACGTTCCGCAAAATGACGTTGCTATGGAACCCTGAATGGGGGTACGCAGCAAGAGGAGCCTAGGCGGGGTGGACTCTCGTGCAGCAGATGGTTTCCGCATGGGGTCTTGATTGATGCTTATTGGAAGGGGGTAAGGTGGGATTGGAAAACATTGGGATTTGGACTCGTGGGAAAATGGAAGATCCGTGGAAATTGTCCTGTGCTCACATACTGGTGGTTGGCAGCAAAAAAGGCTTGTATCTTCACTTGTGACTAGGTCCAAGATTGCAACGATAAAATTATGGGCAAAGTTGCGCTAGGAAGCTAACATTTTTTTTTTTTTTTTTGCTTCGTTCCTTTGAGTCATGGCAGGCTGGCCCTGCCCAGAAGATAGCTAGGTTGGGTGCAAAATTTAAGTTATTCTTGCCGTCAATCAATATCTGGGGGAGCGTGTTTAGCCTGATACATGGATTTAAAAGTCTCGGGATCGCCATCGGGTGGTCAAAAGGTGTAACAAATGCCAAACCAGTGGGAGTGACAAAGAAGTTGTTTTGGGCTCGCCCTCCCCTGACGTGTTTTTACCTCATTTCTCCATTCGACGTATCTCGACTGGTCGAGTAAATGTACTTCAAGGGTTCCTCGTATTCGGAACCAATGTCACTTGGGTAGATTTGATAGAACAAACAAATGGTGGCGTATTTCTCTCAACGACAGTGAGACTCAGAGACAACATTTCTGGGCGTTTCACTTCCGAAGAAGGGCGGAGAACGAATGTTGAGATGTTGGCTTGGCTTGGCACATTGAATGAATACTTATCACTTGGTATAGCTGTGGATCCCCTGCAGCAGCCCTTTTGGGCATGGCATGACATTAGGGTTCGGGTAAATGTGTCAGTTCTGGATTCTTGTCCTTTGAAGGTCAACTGGGAAGTTTATTTGTATGTGCCGCACATATGCACAGCACATTCCCATACAGATAAGCTGAGTGGGGCATGACTTTCCGTTTGCTTTAATCCACTCAACTCCTCTGGGGCCATGGGATTTGATGCGCACGTATCTAGGATTAGAGAAGCTGCTAAGTGCTAGCGTAGATCCATGATGGAGATCAACTAGAAGAACACTGGTCTGCTTCAAGGCTCAAGAGGTCAAAAGCAAGCTTCTGGATCTTGTCTCGACTCTTCAAAAGCAATAGTAGCAAAGAATGGTAGAGGGTTTTTCTGTTTAGTTTATTTTTAGGTCAAGACTCTGGGAGGTGGACTGATGCAGCTGATAACAGTAGTTTTGCGAGTGAGGGAACCGAAGAATTGAGAGCACGTCGCAGGCCAAGGTCGTAATCATACTGAAACGTGGTAGTGACATACTGTGCTCCGTTGCTGTAAGTTTTTCTCTTTTGAACTGTGGGTCTCTCTCTCGTTTTGGGGTAGGTAGCTGTTCCGTACTCCGCCCTGGACTCTCTTACAAGATGGAAGAGATACGGATGCTGGAGTTCACGGATTGACCAACATCCATTTACTGTTGTCCCGCCAACCAGACGAGATGCCAGCGGTTCCAAGCTTAACTTGTTGCTTTGGAGGAAAGATGTGCTAGTGTGTTGGCAAAAAGTTCCAAGGGTTTTGGGAGAAGAAGGGATTGCGTTTCTCTCCCCATCGATAATCTACTTAGGTCTCAGCCTGAGGTGTTCCAAATTCAATCATGTAAACGGTTGGTTTCCCTTGCCAATACTATTTCTCTTAATTGTGATCAAGAAACGGAGGTCTAAAGTGAACCTTCATTGAGTGGGCTGAGCTTGATAGAATTTGCCCAGCACTGGCACAGCCTGGAGGCTTGGAAGTGCTTATTTTCTGTCCCGTCGCCAATGCTTGTTGGCGGCTGAGGGTGCTTCCCTTGGGGCAAGACTAGATGGTGAATGCAGACATATCAAAGAACAAAGAAATCCAACAACAATAATACCAATAAAAATAGACTAGACCCCAGAGATTCAAGAGGATATTCTCAGAGGTTGTGGAGGAAGTTGACGTTGAGATATATCCATTGTTATCAAGTTATAATCGCAGAGTTAATTAACCGTCGCCCAAGTTCATCATTTAACTAGTTAACTATAACGTTAACTAACTAACTAGTTAACTAACCTAGTTTAGTTAGTTCTGCTGACAAAGCCTTGGAGCTGAGCTGACCCAATCGCCGATGGCGGCTAGCCTGTTCAGGCCTAGCGCCACCCCACGGGGATTTTGGTCCGGAACAGGCGCCGCCAGTCTGCTTCTTAAGTCCAGGCGCAGCGGTTTCTTTTTCTTTGCTTTTTTGACTTGTTCGAGGCCATGTGTTGGGACGAGGAAAACTCTTCAGCTCTTTTGAAATTTGAAGGGGTCTCTTTTGCGGTTGCGTGGTTGTTCATATGCGCAGCCTCCCCCCTTTAGATGACGAGGCGACCAAAACAACATGCCACCTCGGTTTAGTTGTTGACCGGAGACTGAGTATTATTAAGCATCAGTTTGGCCCTCTCCACCAACGTCCTTTGGCTTATCCATGACTGTTTTCACCCGCTACAGCAAATAATATATTTCGCTAGGTGCCGCAGCACATTCCAGCGTTGATTACCTATGCTAGCTCTTGTTGCATGGTGATACCCCGACAGTCTGTGACATACTGGCTCTCGTCCCCCAATATCCCCAATCCGCCCCGGGTTCTGACTTACGAGACAACCGCTATTTATTTCCGCTGGTGAACTTGCGTTGAAAGAGATGGATAATCTCAGTGGAGAAGATCCAGATTCCATGGCATTCGACATGAATATGGGGGACAATCAACCCCCACAGATATTCGGCGCATACAACCCAGATGGTTCACCCATAACACCAACTCTTCCGGCGGGACCGATGTTTTCTGAAGATCATTTGTCGGGCAATATAGATGAGAGCAACGATGCTAAGCGGCGGAGAATTGCAAGAGTATGTCTCTATAAAGTTAAAAAAGAAAATGGAAAAGAAAAAGGAAGAAAGAAAAAAAGAAAAGAAAAGCCATCATTTCTCTTTCGCTGGGCAAACGCTGATTGTTAGTAAAAGGCATGCGATATGTGCCGAAAAAAGAAGATCAAGTGCGACGGGAAGATCCCCAAATGCTCCCACTGTATCAACTACAAAACAGTGTGTATCTTCACCCAGGTGGAAAAGAAGCGGAATCCGCCCAAAGGGTACGGCTAGTTGTCCCTGAATCTCTTCAACACGGGCTGACCTTGACCAACAGAGCCAAGTATATAGAAGGACTGGAAAATAGACTGGGCCGCATGGAATCTTTACTACGCCTTTCCGGACTGCTGACGGAAGCAGACGCTGGCAAAACTGACCTTAGCGCCCTTGAGAAACGACTCGTGGATAAGTCCAGCCGGTCTGGCGGCGGCTTATCATCCAAGCCATCAACCTCATCATTTGGTTTAAGTAATCAACCAAGTCAACCATCACCCTCGACTTCCTCTACGCCGCATGTAGATTCTCAAACCAGCCCCCGAAGCTCTGGTACCTCGCCAGAGTCTCAAAAGGAGACAGAGGCTGAGCTAGATTCCCTTTCTGATATGATGTGCTCCTTGGTGACTAACAACTGTGGAGAGACTCGATACATTGGTACGCAACCCTCCCCCAATCCAGCCAATCATATTGTATTGAAAACATATTTAACAGAATGCAGGATCGTCCTCTGGATTTTCGATATTTTCTCCAAAAGGCATCCAATGGGTCAACGAAAAAACGGGAGATTCCTCGTTCCAAGATATGATATCATCCGCATATGTAGATGATAATAAATGGATATATTGGAAACCAGAGGTGTTTAGTGACATATTTGCTCGTCGTGTTTTCAAACCATTACCTCCGCGAAAAGAGGCTTTATCCCTCTTCAAAGATTATTTCGAGAACTTTAATTGCGTCTTCCCTCTCTTTCATGAACCTACCTTTATGCATCTGGTTGAACGTCAATATTCCCGCGATCCGTACGAGGGCTCAGGGTGGTGGGCGAGCATCAATGTTACACTAGCCATAGCCCACCGGTTACGAGTTGTGAGTAATCTGGTGCCTCAGGAGGAAGATAAAAAGGCTTGGCTCTATCTGAAGAATGCAATGGGCGTTTTGACGGAGCTCACAATGAGAAATACAGATCTCCTGAGCGTACAAGCACTTCTTGGAATGGTGGGTTTAATTCAACTGTTTGCCCTGGTCTAAAATCAACACGAAATTGCATCACGAGCATCGCACTGTATCTAACATCTACCAGTCACTATTCCTACAAGGAACCCCTAACCCACAGCCAACATTTTTCCTCGTTGCTGCGGCCATCCGCCTCTCCCACAGCATTGGTCTTCATAAACGCGGTTCCGGATTCGGGTTGAACCCGGTTGAACTTGAACAGCGGAAACGAGTGTTCTGGATCGCGTACATACTGGACAAAGAGTATAACCCCCCAAAATACTCCCCCCCCCCACAAGTTGCCTTCTTACAAGGTCCATTCAATTGCAAGGTTACTAACTTTACCTAGTATATGCCTTCGATCCGGACGACCCCCCGTGCAAGATGACGACGATATGAACGTCGAGCTTCCTAGCGAGGATCCTCCAGATAACATTGGAAATGTGCCCCTCTCTGACGGGAAAGGGAAATTAAATCTTTTCCGGCTGATGTGCATATTTGCAACTATTGAAAGTAAAGTATACAAACAGTTGTATTCTACTAAAGCGGCAAGACAATCGGACGGAGAGCTTCTCAATACAATTGGGGAACTTGATCGAGAACTTGAAGAGTGGAAAGACAGTATCCCAATCGATTTCCGGCCCGAACACGAGATCAAAGCTACACATCGCCCGTTAATCCTTCATATTGTGGTACTACACTTCGCTTACTATAACTGTTTGACCACGATCCACCGAATGTCTGTTCACCATGGCTACTGGACTAGCCGTTTATCAAACTATGCGATCCAAGGCTTAAACGCGAGACCCCTGAACCCTCGCGTATTTTCGTCTGCTATTCTTTGTGTTTCTGCTGCTCGTGCATCGATACATTTGATCAAGTATATACCCCAAGGTGACTTTGCTTGTGTTTGGTAGGTAGACTTCCAAAATATACATCAGCTGGAGTATATCAATCTTACTTTATATGCTTAGGTTAATTCTGTATTTCCCAATTTCCGCACTGGTCACGCTGTTTGCCAACATACTACAAAACCCTCAAGATGCTCGTGCACGGTCTGACGTCAAGCTAATGGGCCTTGTCGTAAATTTCCTTTCGATGCTTGTTGCAGACGAGTCAAATGGGAGTGTTAGGCGTATGCTTGGCGTCTGTTCTGAATTTGAAAGAATTGCAAAAGTTGTGCTGGAGAAGGCTGAAAAGGAATCACAGTCAAAACGCAAACGTAGAGCTGGAGGCGATGAGACTGACAACAATGACGTACCAGTGCAACCAACGGGCAATTGTTACCAGACCAAATCGACGCCAGATTCGAACATGCCAAATCCTACACCCAGATCATCTCCACTGTCCCGGAGCTTTCAAGGAAATATGGACACCGCCACCACCACCACCAACAACAACAGCAACACCAACAACAACAACAGCAGCAGCAGCAACAACAACAACAACAACAGCAGCAGTAGCAACAACAACAACAACAGCAACAGCAACAGCAACAACCATTCGACGAGGAGTAATAATACTGAGTATTTCTTCCCTCAACCTGCAAGCACGGGACAAGAATCACCACCGCCAACAACAACAACAACCATGGGAACAACGACAGAAACATCAGCAACGACTGGAGCTAAGTTCGAAAATGGCTACGAGCAGGATTTTCCCGACATGTTACCACCCAATCAGCCAAATCATGCGTTCACTGGCAGCCCGGCTTTCCCGAACGTCCCTCAAATGCCCATTGATTTCTCCTCATTTCAGCAACCGTTTGTGCCACAGGAGCTCTGGCAGATGCCAATGACATTAGAATGGGATTGGGCAGATATGTCTGGTGGCTTTCCTTTTGCAAACGGAGGCGATCATAATGGGTAACCGCCTCCCCGCTGCCAATTTACGTGCGTCCTCCTACGTAAGGAAATGTTGTCCAAACTGAATCACAGTTAAGGAAATAAACCAGGGACCCGCGTAAGGAGTTTATTTGGGATTTTATTTTCACAGTGAAGTAATAATATGATAAACTATGGATGAAAAGGCTTTTCGGCGTTTAGGGATCAGTCCGCCCCTATTTTCGTTGGAGGATAGGCTTTCCTGGACATGGCTTCACTTCCTTTAGAATCGGGAGGGGCGAGGCACAATTCGGTAGCATACATACACCTCCAGGCGATTTTTGAGCTCTTATTGGCTCCTTATTGCTAATACAGGCAGCAGCACATTGGCCAAATTCCGGCGGTTTAAGACAAGGATGCTAATTGTGCCTCTCTGCGATCAAGATAATTATAACTATGTATAATATATCTTAATTTCCTCTTAGGATTATGAGCAGCGAACAATTCTCAACCCATTTATGTTGTTAATTCCGTAACAAGCCTTAAATGGGTTGCTGTGAGCTGACAGCAAAACCTATTAAAGCTACTCTTACGTGAAAATGGCTCTTGTTGTTAGAAGCTCATTTCTGGATGGCTAGCAACCAGTACAGAGTACAGATTTGATTTAATTTGAAAGTCGATTCTGGTATCACTCGTGCAAGGTATACATACACACCTGCGCCTGGAACAAAGAATTAGTTGTAGCAACTCCTTTTCCCAGCATGTTCGTGCAAGCCTTTAGGCTTCCTTTTACACCGGGTTCATATTGGCAAGCTGAGATGGCTCTAGGACTTCTCCCAGCCAAAGCATTTCATGCCCGGTTTACGGGGTTGCCTACCATGGCCTTCCCCGTAACCAGCATACAGTATTTGTTGAGACTGGCAAAGGAGGCCCGGAGTGGGGGCAGCTATTCCATGTGACTGGTAACATTCAAATCAGAATGTCTTTTGACAACAAATCTGCCATAAAACCCGACATATCGACTAAATTCCCAAGCAAAGAGTTGATTAACAGTGTAACGCATGACAACTGCCCTCGCATCCTAACCATATGTCAAAATACGCCGCCACCGGGGAAGCAATTCCATGGACCGAAGAGGCTTTAACCCGATCAACCAATCCGCTGATGCCAAGAGTGGACTGCTGAGGTTATTCACAGGTTAGCCGATGCGCAAGTTTTAGAGCAACAGTAATTGGTAGGAATTAACTGGAGGGGGACCTGTCACCGTAGGTGGCTTTGAATTGAAGGAGAGGAGCTTGCTATATGGAAAAAAAAAAAAAAAAAAAAAAAAAAAAAAAAAAAAAAGAGAGAGAGAGAGAGCACTGAGACAAGATGAATTAAAATAAGGAAGCGTTACAAGATATGATGGTGTTGATGGATCAAGACCAAAGCTCTAAGAATGCATCTTGCAGCCAGGAATATTCCGCATCCAAAGGTTGTAAGATTTTCGCAACATGCTCATCCCAGTCATCATCCATCTGGTGGCAAACGTTGCCAGCGAGAATTCCCAGCAGCTAGGGTACCATCCTGATGTTTCCCAGTCAATAAGAGTCACTTCATATTGTTTCTGATTTCCATTGTCGGGAAGTTGCTTGACGATGACATCCTTCCGCTGGCAGTCCCCATGTGTAAATTTCGATTCGTTGTCGCGGAAAACATAGATAGCGATAGACGATAGAGGTCAGCCTTGTAGGTGGAACGGGTTTCAGATTCTTCGATAAATTTCAAAGCTAGAGCCTCATTCAATGCAGTCTCAGGATCGAAGGGGCCGTTAATGGTAGGCACAGGTCGCGGGATCCAGGAAAATACCATGCAGGAGCTGATCCCTTCCGATAACTACAGCCGTAGAACCCAGGGGAAGGGGAGGCTGCGCAATTCGTCGAAGTATTGTTTTAAGGATCAGCGTAATCTCAGATTTCTGGCATTGGGACAAATCTGCCCATTGGGCATCCAGGGTGCAGCCTTCGATGAATTCCATGACAATATAATTTCATCGACGTCTTGGGATCGTTGTACATTGCGTAAACTCGGGGGGCCTTTATTTTCGTAGATTTCTGGACAAAAAGCATATTCAGCGCTTCGATAGTAGGACCGAACCTGACAACGAATTCATTCTAACTTTAACGACCCTTCACCAATTATGCTTCATGAGGAATAGTGCCTTCCTCGATCTCTGTGCTCGTCGGTAGAGGGCATGGGATATCGCTGGTGGAAAACGGCAGCTTATTGAGCAATAACGCTGAACGGGCTTGCTTCCGATCTCCGTACAATCGGCTTCCCATAGAGTAAATAGTCAGCAAAGCTGTGATAAGCAGCGCAGTGCCAGCTCCAAAAAAGAAGGCTCCGGTAGCTGCTCCAGCTGGGATGGGAGAGCGCCATTCCTTGTCGTGATTCCAATATATAGTGGTCCACAAGGCATTTGAAGAGTTGCAAGGAGGTGAGGTCCCAGGAGCCGTCCTAATTTAGCCTAGCTTATGTCAGGGCACACCCCCAATCCTCAGGCACCGTAAGGGCGGACGGTGTACGGGGTGGCGTACGGAAGACTTTTAATCAACCCACAAAGCGAGTTGAATGCCTCTTAGGATAATCGGACTTTTGAGCCCAAACAGAATAGCTAGCACAAGTTGAAAGAAAATACTCCGTAGGCTATAGCATAGTAATCGCTGATCGAGGTGTTTGACTCCTCTTCAACCGTCGCAGGCTCACAGCTCCTTTATATAAGAGCGCGAAGAATTCGAGGCGCCCTCTGATATTCTTCTTAGACTGGGTTAACTACTTGGGCCACTTCTCCTCGGCTGCTCCATAATCATAGCCTGAGCTGCTGCTTCTGCTGCCTCTGCTCCTTTCTGATGGCCTGACATATCAACGACTTGGGAAGCAGAGGTAGTTGGAGTCAGGTCCTGAATGAGTTGATTGTCGCTGTATTAAAGGCGTTGATTGTGACTGCTCTCGGTCAGGCTGTCAAGCTGTTTGCTGATGAGGTTTGGTTGAAATTTCCCTTCCTCTCAGTCATCAGATAGATTAATTTATAATGGGTTCTGCAACATGACGCGGTCTTGTAAAATGAACAGAATCATATGCCTCATAATCTGGTTTTCCCATATGTGTAAGAACTGTACCTATTCGTTCCCTCAATCATTGAGCAGTGCTCTAGAGATATATGATTAAAAGCTCATGCGTGGTTCTGTTGGGAAATGCAGTGAGCGTTTTCATTTTAGGTATTGATATAAATAGTCGGCTGTGCTAGATGCTTCCGTTGTCCGGGGCCGCTGAGTCATCCCGAGCAAAAATTGGAGGCGGAATTCCAACCACCGACTCATCAACCCCCAGACAAGACTCCCAACTAAACTCCGGTTTTGGTTTCGGCCCTTTCTATCTCCCCATTTTCATCTTTGTATCTGCTAGCGGAGTGGACGCTCCTATGGGTTATTTACGTCCTGTCAATTGCTGAGCTGAGCGTCTGCCAAACTTGTATCCTTTTCCGAACCCTCCACCTCCACCTCCGCCTCCGCCTCCGCCTCCGCCTCCACTTCACCTCCACCTCACCCCTCCTCCGACGATGGCTAGCTTGATTCGACGGCCCGGCAATCTTGCTCGATATTCGGGGGTAGCAGCGGGGCGCTCTATATACCCACGATTATCGCCCTTATCACTGTGGCAATCCCACCTTTATCCCATCATTGTGAGCGCTCGCCAGTCCCGCTCATATCTCACTAACTTCCGGCAATTTCCAAATCCTGGTAAAGAAAATGGGAGTCCTACTCCTCCTGGCAGTGATGGGCCTTCCGGGCAGCAACCCCAACCGCCTCCCGAAGGGCCAAATGGGGAGAACAATGGAAAAGAGCCTGAAAAACTTAAGTACCGTGCAAGTCAGGAGGAAATCGAGGACCTTGATTACGTTCTAGGACTGGTGAGGGACAAACTTCCGGCGTCGCAGAGGCAGTTTGTGGAAGAAATGGCGGAGGTTTTCAAAGAAGAAGGGTTCCCCGACGACGTGAAACTTTTTGTTAAACAAGTTAAGGACTCTAAGCAATTTACACTTGCCAATGTAACGCAGGTGTTCCGGTTATGGACTCGACATGGACCATTAATTGTTTCCAAGATGTCAGATAGGAGTTTACATAAAAGCCCTCGCCGAATGATGGGTAAATCTGAAGAAAACTTCCCAGAACAACAAGGCCATGCACAGAGCAGTGGCAAGGCTAAAGATGAAACCGGTCGGTCTGAGGGAGAACAAAAGCAGGAGCAAAAGCAACGGGACCAAAAATATGGATTCAAAGGGCCGAAATTTAACGCTCAGACACCCTTTGATATAAAATTCAAGTTTGATCCGGCGTCCTTTTTAGTCGCTACCTTTCTCTCGTACTACATGTACCGGAGCTTTATTCCCGGTGATGTTACAAAGGATATTACGTGGCAAGAATTCAGAAATACCTTTTTGGATAAGGGGTTGGTTGCCAAGTTGACGGTCCTCAACGGCAAGAAAGTGCGGGTCGAGCTTCATCGTGAAGCAGTTGCGAATGTGTACCCAGAATCACCTGCGACGCAACCAAATTTCTACTATGTCTTCGCAATAGGATCTGTTGAGGGATTTGAAAGGAAGATTGATCAGGCTCAAACGGAGCTCGACATCCCAACCACTGAACGTATTCCTGTGGATTATCAAGATGAAGTTTCCTGGGGTGCCACAATCCTGAGTCTTGCTCCTACTCTTGTCCTTATTGGCACTGGCATCTGGCTCTCGAGGCGCGCTACGGGCGGAGGTGGCCAAAGTGGCATATTTGGCATGGGTAAAAGCAGGGCCAAGAGATTTAACCACGAAACTGATGTCAAGATAAAGTTTGCTGATGTAGCCGGTATGGACGAGGCCAAGGTTGAGATTATGGAATTTGTTAGTTTTCTTAAGAAACCGGAGCAGTTTCAACGGCTTGGTGCCAAGATCCCCAGAGGCGCTATTCTTTCAGGGCCACCGGGTACCGGTAAGACGTTATTAGCAAAGGCTACAGCTGGCGAGTCAGGCGTTCCATTTTACAGCGTTAGCGGGTCTGAGTTCGTCGAGATGTTTGTTGGCGTTGGCCCCTCCCGAGTCCGTGATCTGTTTGCAACCGCCCGGAAAAACACACCTTGTATTATATTCATTGATGAGATTGATGCTATTGGAAAGTCGAGATCGAAGAACGCTTATGGTGGTGGAAATGATGAGCGCGAGAGCACATTGAATCAGATCCTGACCGAAATGGATGGTTTCAACACTTCGGATCAAGTTGTGGTTCTGGCAGGAACCAATCGAGTCGATATCCTAGATAAGGCATTGTTGCGACCTGGTCGATTTGACAGACACATTTCCATTGATAGACCGACAATGGATGGACGAAAACAGATTTTCCGTGTTCACCTGAAAAAAATTGTCACCAAGGTCGATTTGGATTACTTGACCGGCAGATTGGCTGCATTGACTCCTGGTTTCTCCGGAGCGGATATTGCCAATTGTGTAAACGAGGCTGCACTAGTCGGTAAGTAACTGCTCAATGAAGATGCTGTCGTCTCTTTTGGAAATATTAGTGTGAGATAAGACTGATGGTTGTTCTAGCTGCCCGCTACCGCGCTGATGAGGTAACCATGTCCCATTTCGAGCAGGCCATTGAGCGAGTAATTGGTGGTCTAGAAAAGAAATCGCTGGTGCTCTCACCAGAGGAGAAGAAAACAGTGGCGTATCACGAGGCTGGCCACGCTATTTGCGGCTGGTACTTCAAGTATGCTGATCCGTTACTGAAAGTATCCATCATCCCTCGTGGCCAGGGTGCACTAGGTTATGCCCAATATCTACCGGCACAGGGTGACACCTACCTGATGAATTTCCACCAGCTCATGGACCGAATGGCTATGACCCTTGGTGGACGTGTCAGCGAGGAGCTCCATTTTGATACCGTGACCAGTGGCGCCAGCGATGACTTTAACAAAGTCACCCGGATGGCGAGCGCTATGGTAACCAAGTTCGGAATGTCCCAGAAAATTGGCTATTTGTACTACGATGAAGAGCAGCAGCAATTCCAGAAGCCCTTCTCAGAAACTACCGCTAGGGATATTGACATGGAAGTTCGACGAATCGTCAACGAAGCCTATGAAAAGTGCCGTAAACTCCTAACAGAGAAGAAGGCCGAAATTGGTATCGTCGCGGAAGAACTTCTAACCAAGGAAGTTCTCAGTCGTGATGACATGATTCGGCTTCTTGGTCCAAGACCATTCCCAGAATCTAGCGAATTTGCGAAGTACTTCGATGGAGCAGGCGGTGCAGGAACGATTGCGCCGCCACCCCCACCGAATGAGACTCTTTCTGATAAATTAAACACGGATGAAGTAGACGGAAAAGAAGGTCCAACGCCATCTAATCCTGCATGAGGCAAAGTCAAAACGTTCTGTTTCTTAGCTTAACGCTCCCTGCATCTGTTTTAGGAATCAAATCATAACGTCTCCTATATCTCCCCTTTTCTATTTGTTTCTTTTTTGGTGTTACTATATCTTCACTAGTTTGTTCATCTGGTCGCCTTCGTTTTCTTTCCCCTTTCTGTACTCTATTACTGTATCAAGTGTCCAGGTTTCTGTGATTAATTACTACTTTAACTAAGTTCCTACCAGCGGATTTTATCGGGCTATATCCTTGACCTACCTTGACTGTATCCCAGGGTATTTGGGGATACTTTCTCCCAGTACCAACCATTCTCCCCAAATCTCCACATCCTGAATTATTATTGATCTATAATTTATATCTTGTATATTAAATTTCCAACTTTTGACGGGTTATTGGTTTTTTTTAAGAAAGGCGTCAATTGGGCTGAGGATATCTATAAAGGAAAGATAAGAGAAGAATGGGACTTTCAGAGAATCTTTTTGTTTTACAAAAGAAACGAAAATAAAATATGAACTTAACGCCCGCTGCCTAGACAGACATTGAGAGCTGTGTATAGAAGATCCGACATA